TGGGAGGGTCCAACATGGTGATGTAGAAAGACCTTAAATTTACCACCTCTGTAGACACATTAAATCTACATCTTTTTATAGGGCAATTCCTCCTGAAGAAGAACTGAGAGCTGAATGAACAGCTTGTGCCCCACAAAAGATAGAGACCACACAGAGAACCACAAGAGAGATGGAGACACAGTAATGAAGAGAACCCCAGGGCCTGGTGCTGTGAATTGCAGGGGAAAGGGATAGTACCTAGGGACTGTGAGCAAATTTGTCCGTCTTGCAGCACTGAAAAAAAGGTGCAGTTCATTTATTTATTTTTTTAAAAAGATTTATTTATTCATAGAGACACATAGAGAGAGAGAGAGAGAGAGAGAGAGAGAGAGAGAGAGAGAGGCAGAGACACAGGCAGAGGGAGAAGCAGGCTCCATGCAGTGAGCCCAACATGGGACTCGATCCCGGGTCTCCAGGATCACACCCCGGGCTGCAGGCAGCGCTAAACCGCTGCGCCACCGGGGCTGCCCAACAGGTGCAGTTTAAAAGGGCAACTAGACTATAAAGGAATCAGCCCTAGAAACTTGCCAAATGGCACAGGAGATGCTAGAACTCTTTCAGGTTCAGAGTGGCTGGCGAGCACCACAGTTTACGTTCCTCTTCACCTTGACAATGCAGATGGGAGCAGCATCCAGGTGCCATAGCCAGCCTGTGACCTCAGCAACCCCTGTGTCCCCAGACCACACTAGCCCTGATCACCCTGGGGCACACACACAAAAGCCATAGCATAACAGAGCAACTAAACCCAAGGCCATATACGGAGTCGATGCAATCTCTATCAAAATATCAATGGCATTTTTCACAGAATCAGAAAAAATAATTCTAAAACTTGTTTGGAATCACAAAAGATCCCAAAGACCTAAAAACAATCTTCAGAAGAAAAAATAAAACTGGAGGTACCACAATGCCAGATTTCAAGGTACAATACAAAGCTGCAGTAATCCAAACACTATGGTGCTGCCACAAAAAGAGACACAGAGACACAGGAACAGCATAGACAGTCCAGACATAAACCCACACTTATGTGGTCAGTTCATCTATGACAAAAGAGGTAAGAATATACAATGGGGAAAGACAGTCTCTTCAACAAATGGTGTTGAGAAAACTGCACAGCTACACACAAAAGAATGAAACTGGACCATTTTCTTACACCCTATACAAAAATAAGTGCAAACAAAATGGTTTAAGAACCTAAATATGAGACCAGAAACCATAAAACTTCTATAACAAAACATAGTAATCTCTCTGACACTGGCCTTAGCAACATTTTTCTAGTTGTCTCCTGGGGCAAGGGAAAGAAAAGCTAAAAATAAACAAATGAGACTAAGTCAAACTGAAGAGCTTTTGCCCAGAGAAGGAAACCATCAATAAAACAAAAGCCAACCTACTGATTGGGAGAAGATATTTGTAAATGAGATACCCAATAAGGGGTTAATATCCAAAATATATAAAGACCTTCTATTACTCAACACCAAAAAGCCCCAAATAATCTAATTTAAAAATGGGCAGAACACCTGAATTGACATTTTCCCCAAGAATACATTAAGCAGATGGCAAACAGACACAAGAGAGAAGATGCTCATCACTCACCCTCAGGGAGATGCACATCAAAACCCCAGTGAGGTATCACCTCTCACCGGTCACAATGGCTAGAATCAAAAAGACAGACATTAACAAGTGTGGGCGAGGACGAGGAGAAAAAGGAACTCTGGTGCATCGATGGCAGCCATGTAAATTGGTGCAGCTACTGTGGAGAAGAGACTGGAAGTTTCCCCCCAAAATTAAAAATAGAAATACCATATTATTCAATAATTCCACTACTGGGTATTCACCCAAAGAAAAAGAACATTAATTAATTCAAGAAGATATATGTCCCTATGGACCCCTATGTCCACTGCAGCAGTATTCACAAGAGCCAAGATACGGAAGCAACCTAAGTGTCCACTGATAGATGAACGGGTAAAAAAAAGAGTGATGTATATATATCATTCTCAGAGTGGTCATTTCTTTTTTTTTTTTTTTTTAAGATTTTATTTATTTATTCATGAGAGACCCAGAGAGAGAGGCAGAGACCCAGGCAGAGGGAGAAGCAGGCTCCCTGCAGGGAGCCCAACGCGGGACTCGATCCCAGGACCCTGGGGTCACGCTCTGGGCCGGAGGCGGACGCCGACCACCGAGCCACCCAGGGGCCCCGCCAGGCACAGTTCTAAATGCCTCTCATATATTAGCTGTGTTACCATGAGGTAGGCACATCAGCACATATCACGATGCCATGGTAATAGAAGGGTGTGGAAGTACAAACCGAAGAGTCACTGAACCCCAAATTCACCACACACACCTTACCGTATTCCTTCCTTCCGTCCTTTCTGCTTTTCTAGATCTCACCCATCCTCAAGGAAGAAGCAAGAGGGCAAAAAAAAGGAGACAAAGGGAGACGGGGTTCTAATTTGTGCTTGTTTTGTGTGAACCTGTGAATCCAACCCTGCTTGTTGGGAAGCCCTTGGGCACTGCGCGCTCCTATTGTCTCTCCTCCTGGAACAGGTAGATGTTTATGTATCACTTTGCCTTCCCGACATGCCGGCACCACGGCTGTGCAGGGGTCCCCAGGTCAGGAGATGACCGAGCTCGCCTTCCTGATGCCGTCTGTGAGCTGTCTTAGGATGACAGCACTCGCCAGCTACTGCCTCAGCTGGTCACCGTGGCCCTTCCTACTGCCAAGGCACCTGAAGACCACCCAGAGGATGCGAAAGGAGGAGGGCTGTCAACAGCCTGCAACAATGAGCAGCAGGATGTGGGAGCCTGTCCCTCTGCAAGGCAAACAGGCCAGCCTACTGGCGCTGAGGAAGACACTAGTATGGGTAATGCTAGATGGACGGCCGTGCAGAATTACTTACGGACTGATGTGTGCTTTGTTTCTCACAGAGGCCAAGGTTGGGAACATGGTGGAAGTAGAGGATATATTTTTAGTTGAAAAAAGGAAGCAAAAAGCAATGTTCCCAAGTGTGAGCAAAAATAGCTCCAAGCAAGAGGGAGAAAGCCTCAGAACCTGGGGAGTGGAAGGGAGTAATAGCCCTGCAGGCTTTGCTCACGGCACTGGCCCCCAAAACTGAGACAGCGTGTGAGCGGTCAGAGAGAGAGCAAACTTCAAGACAGATGAAAAACTAAATGGCAGAAGTTTTCAATGACGGAAAGTTGGAAACAGACCGAAGGGAAGAACTGGTGAATCGCTCGAGCATACATGTGCGTGCCTCTGGCACGCTGCTAAGTGTTCAGCACCCAGCTCTACAAAAAAATTACGCATATATATGCACGTTTACTGTACATTTTACTAGGAATAAATGCTTATTTTTATTGCTATCTCTTCAGCAAGAAGTTGCTCACATCACTGATTTATGAGTTCAAATCTGGCATGAATATTGGTGGCTTTTTGCCTACCCACTAACAAGTAAGAAGACAGTGAAACAAAGACATATGTGAGAACTTAGGCAATTCATAAAAACGTGCATGACTTCTTTACTGAATCAGATAAAAGGTTTTAAATACTGAAGGAAGCTTTGCACAGTGGCAGTATCGTAGCCAATGAGGTTAATCCGAGGCGCGATTATTGCTAATTAAACACTGAAGAAGGGCAGCCCCGTGGCTCAGCGGTTTAGCGCCACCTTCAGCCCAGGGCGTGATCCTGGAGACCGGGGATCGAGTGCCTCTCTCTATCCCTCTCTTACTGTTTCTCATGAATAAATAAAATCTTAAAAAGAAAATACTGAAGAAATATTTCCTCAGTTTTCTGTGCTCTTCAGAATGAAATAGCCACAGACACAACACATCTTAAAATTTAACCTGTTTTACGTAGTACTATTTTACGGGCTAAACAGTATTAAATAATCTTTAACCTGTATAATAGAATTATTATTTTTTCCCATAACTTCCTTAAGACTAAACGGTCAGGGGCACCCAGGTGGCTCAGTCGGCTGAGCATCTGCCTTTGGGTCAGGCTGTGATCTTGGGGTGTGGGATCGAGCCCCTCATTGGGCTCCCTGCTAGGGGAGGTGGGGGTGGTGTCTACTTCTTCCTCTGCCCCTTTCCCTGCCTCTCCACCTGTGCTCTCTCTCTCAAATTAATATTTTTCATTTTTATTTTATTTTTTTAAAGATTTTATTTATTTATTCATGAAAGACACAGGAGAGAGAGAGGCAGAGACACAGGCAGAGGGAGAAGCAGGCTCCATGCAGGGAGCCCGACGTGGGACTCGATCCTGAGTCTCCAGGATCATGCCCTGGGCTGGAGGCAGCGCTAACCCTCTGAGCCACCGGGGCTGCCCAATAAAATATTTTTGAAAAAGACTCAATGATCAACAAAATGATACACTGAGCCCTGAGTGGTAGGGTTTGCTGACTTCTGGGGTGAATATTGCCACCATAACTAGTTTCAAGCTACCAAGCAGATGTCAGTGAACGTGGAACTGGAAAGACATACACAGTAGTGCGCTACTAGATACTTATTTTCACCACACGGATACACTGGATATAGGTAGCCACGTGCATAGAAAATAGCGCTTTTTCTAATTAGTGGTCATAAGTAACCTCTGGGGCCCCACAAATTCCTAGTCCTCATGACCCTTTTGAATCTGATGGATCAGCTTTTCTGATCATGCCTGGGTGGAATCTTCTGGGGGGCTGAGAATCCTCAGAGGTCTGGATCTCTTCCAAGTATGGGGAATGGTAGTTAGGCGAGAACATTCTCCTCTTCCTGGCCTCCAGGAACCTCCTGGGCTCCTAGCAAAACCGTAGCACAGACTTAAGCTTTCACAGAGAGCTTTTACCGAAAGAACCATTGACCTCCCCACACTTCTTTCCTGCTGACATCCCTGAGGCAAAGGAAATTATAAAAGCTGCCTATGCTTTCAATGAGGAAAGGAAAAGAGAAGTCTGGAAAAATAACGTAAATCCAATTTAAAAGCTTACCTCACCTCAGGGGTTTGTACAGCTGAAGCAGTCTTCAGTCTGAGTTATCTACACCGGAGCCACGTTTTCTCAGCCAATACGGTATTTGATTAGCTGTCCTTGGTGCAGTTTTTTTTTTTTTCTAATTACTAGAATACCTGTGAAAACACAACAAAAATATAAAAATTTATAATCAGATTCACAGAGGAATAACCACTAAGGGTAAGACCCATGCAGCAGATTTAAAGTTTACAGTCATTGGTCAATACACCCTTTGCTAAATAAAACAAAGTAAACCCTCTGGCCTTGGAAGAGCAGGGAAGAAAGAAAAAGATGAAATCTGTGAAAAAATACCGTAGGAAAGAATGGAAGGAGATATTATACACGGAAGCTAACATGGCGCCCAGCACATTAAGTGGGTGTTGGCTGGTAAGAGCAGTCACGGTAGTCATTACAGTAGGAAGGGCCAGTGGAAGATTGTGTCTGTGAGTTTATCATCTGAGTTTATTCACTCGAGGAGCAAGAAAAAATTTTAGGCAACAATCCTGCATCTTTGATAGGATGAAAAAGCTTGAACTTTAAGACGTAGGCACAGAAAAATAATGGTAAGTAAAGGAAATATTTCAAGATTCACAATGCAAAAGTAACTTTCAGAAGCTACTTAGGAGGCAAAAACGCCACTGCAGAAAAGGAAATTTGTGACATGGAACGCAGACTTGAGATTCCTTTTTAGATCGCAGGAAAAAAGAGAAAGGTATGAAAGTCATTACAGCTGGGGCGCCTGGGCAGCTAGGTCCTGATCAGGGTCCTCGACACGGAGCCCCGCGTCAGACTCTGGGCTCAGCAGGAAGTCGGCTTCCCCCTGCCCCTCTGCCCACCCCACAGCTCTCCCTCTAGCCGTCTCAAATAAATAAAATCTTAAAAGAAAAAACTAAAAAAAAAAAAAAAAAAAAGATAAAGAACAAAGAGGCACAATTTTAAAACTACAGCTATTTCCACGTGGGGCTGAGCTGCATAAAATTGTCTCTCTCTCTCTCTCTCTCTCCCCTTAGCTTAGTGTCAGAGAGAGAAGTCATTGAAAGTAATTTAAATGGAGCTATGAGGCAGGCAAAATAATGCCTCCCACAAAGAAGTCTGCATCCGAATTCCTGGAACCTTTGAACATGGCAAAGGAGATTTTTTTTTTAAAATTTTTATTTATTTATTCATGACAGAGAGAGAGAGAGAGAGAGGCAGAGACACGGGCAGAGGGAGAAGCAGGCTCCATGCAGGGAGCCTGACGTGGGACTTGATCCCGGGTCTCCAGGTTCACACCACAGGCCGAAGGCAGCGCTAAACCACTGGGCCACAGGGGCTGCCCAGCAAGGGAGATTTAAGGAGGCAGATGCAACTGAGGTTTCCAGCCAGCTGACTTTAAAGTATGAAGATCATCCCAGATTACCTGGATGGGCCCAATGACACCACAAGGGTCCCTAAGTGTGGAGGAGGGATTCAGGAGCGTCGGTGTCCAAGGCATATGATGTTCCCAAGATCATCAGCCATCGCTGGCCTCGAGGGGAGCAATGAGCCAGGATCCCAGGATGCACGCAGCCTCAAAGCTGTAAATGGCCAGAAGCCAGCTTCTTCCTGAGAGCCCCCCAAAGGGAAGCCACCCTGTCGGCATTCTGCTTTCAGCCCGGTGACACTCATTTCGAACTTCTGACCTGGAGAGCAGCAAAAAATTAGGTTTTTTCAGCCATTACATTTGGGGTAGTTTGGGATCCCTGGGTGGCGCAGCGGTTTAGCGCCTGCCTTTGGCCCAGGGCGCGATCCTGGAGACCCGGGATCAAGTCCCACGTCGGGCTCCGGGTGCATGGAGCCTGCTTCTCCCTCTGCCTATGTCTCTGCCTCTCTCTCTCTCTCGCTCTCTCTGTGACTATCATAAATAAATAAAAATTTAAAAAAACCACATTTGGGGTAGTTTATTACAGCCTAGTAGGAAACAAATACAGCTGGAGCAAATTCCACGTAGTACACGGGCTGAGTGCCTTTTGTACTCGTCCTCTGCTCCTCCTTCTCACACCCACGAGACTGTATCTCTGTCAAATCCACCTTATTTTTCTTCCTGCATCATTTTTACCTTTTTACGACGTTACTTCCTGCGTCACACGTTATGTGATACATTTAAAACCTATTACTTTTTTTTAAGAGATTTTATTTATTTATTTATTTATTATTTATTTGAGAGACAGAGAGAGAAAAGCATGAGCAGGGGAGGGGCAGAGGGAGAAGCAGGCTCCTTGCTGAGCAGGGAGCCTGATGTGGGCTTGACCCCAGGACCCTGGGGTCATGACCTGGGCTGAAGGCAGATGCTTCACCCACTGAGGCACCCAGGCGTCCCCATGTTAAAGCTACAATGATGAAAACTTTCCAATACATACAAAGTGAACAGAAAAGTATACGGAGCCCTCATGTGCCTACCACACAGCTCCCATAATTACCCACATTTTGTCATTCTTGCTCATTCTAATCTCCACCCACTTTGATCCTCCCCCTCAATTAGAGATGTGTGTAAAATGCACATACGCTCACCTGAAACGTGGCACGCACATTTCTTAGCTGCACATTGTAATGAACAGATACTTGATCCAAGTAACTCATACTCCCAACATTTCCATCTTCCCGAGAGGTTCCCCAGTGTTCCTTTCCCACTCCCGACACCCACGTTCCCGTAAGTGCAACATCCCCTCCTGATTTCAGCACGTCTGTTAGACTGAGTCATGTTGTTACACGTCTAGCAGTTCTTTCCTATTTGGCGTTGAGGAGTATTGCCTTGTGTAAATTAATTTATCCACTTTCTTGTTGACACACATTTGGCTGGCTCTAGTTTTTGGCTATTGAGAATAAAACTGCTGTGAACATTTTTGTACGAGCCTTTTTGTGCACATATGTTTTCATTTCTCTTGGCTCTGAATGACTAGAATTGCTAGACCAAAGGGAAAGGGTGTGTCTTACATTGTAAGAAACTGTCAAATATTTTTCCAAAGTAGTCATACTGTTTTACGTTTCCATCAGCAGTGCCTGAGAGCTCTGGCTGCCTCGCATGCTCACCAAACTTGGTACTGTCAGTCTTTTGAAGGTCAGTGCCTTTCGTACTCATCAGTTTCAGTGAGGATACAGTCGTATCTCATTGTGGTCTTAATTTGCATTTCCTTGCTAAGAACACTGAGCACTGTATGTGTTCTCTGGAGATTATCTATCTATCTATCTATCTATCTATCAATCATCTATCTATCTCTTCCTCTGTATAGTGTTTGACTGAAGTTTTAACCAGGTTGTGTCTTAGTCCATTTGGGCTGCTATAACAAAATATCATAAATGGAGTAGCTTATAAAGAACAGAGATTTCTCACATTGCTGGAAGCTGGGAAGTCCAAGATCGAGGTGCCAGCATGATCTTGTTGTGGCCACCGAGAGCCTCCTTTCTGGTTCATAAACGGCTTTTTGCTGTAACCTCAGAGTGGAAAAGTTAGGGAGCTATGTGGGGTCTCTTGTAAGAGCCAAATCCCATTAATGAGGGCTCCTCCACATAATTTAAGGCCCCCCAAAGGTCCCTAATTCCAACAAAATGGGCCTTAGGATTTCAACATATGAATTTGTGACTGGCAGGGGAATGATACAAACATTCAAAGCATAGCAGGTTGTTTATCTTACTACTGAGTTGTAAGAATTTCTTATATATTCCAGACATGCACATGTTGTCAGATAAATATTCTACAAATATTTTCCCCAAATTTGATGTTTGTTAAATTTTCTCAGCATTGTTTTTTTTTTTAATTTTCATTTATTTATGATAGTCACACACACAGAGAGAGAGAGAGAGAGAGGCAGAGACACAGGCAGAGGGAGAAGCAGGCTCCATGCACCGGGAGCCCGACGTGGGACTCGATCCCGGGTCTCCAGGATCGCGCCCTGGGCCAAAGGCAGGCGCCAAACCGCTGCGCCACCCAGGGATTCCCCTCTCAGCATTGTTATTTCATGATGAGACGTATTTTAGTTTGATGCAATCCAATTTATCAAATTTAATTTTGTGGTATTATGTTCTGCGACCTAAAAAATCTTTGTCTACTTACAAGTTGTAAAGATATTCTAATTTTCTTCAAGAGATTTATAGTTTTCACTTCTACATATAGGACTATGTCCCAGCTTATATAAATTTGTTTATGTATAGTAATTTTTGTATATGGTATAAATTTATACTAACTTTTATGCATAGCACGTATATTTTTCCATACAGATATCTAATTGCTCTAGCATCATTTCTTAAAAAGATTTCCATCTTTACTGAATTGCTTTGTGCTTTTGTCAAAAACCGATGGACTGCACAGAGATCTATTTCTGAATCATCCATTTTGGGCTCTTGAGTTAGTTGTTCTTACTTCGATACTATACTCTCGATTATAATACTAAGTCTTGAAGTCAGATTGTCATAAAAACTCTAGTTTTGTTCTTTGTTTTGAACATTCTAGGCACTTTGCATTTCTATCTAAATTTTAGAATATTTTAATTTCTTTTTTTTTTTTTTTAAAGATTTATTCATGATCGAGAGAGACAGGTAGAGACACAGGCAGAGGGAGAAGCAGGCTCCATGCCGGGAGCCCGACAGGGTACTCGCTCCTGGGACTACAGGATCACGCCCCGGGCCAAAGGCAGGCGCCAAACAGCTGAGCCACCCAGGGATCCCCGAATATTTTAATTTCTACAGTATACGTCTGCGGGGATTATGTTGGGAATAGACTGAATATACGAACCAACTTGGTTCTAATGTCTTGGCAGCCTACTAAGTAAACCAAAACTTAAGAAAGCAATGCTGATGGGAGGGGAGGGGGACGCCTGGGTGGCTCAGTGGTTGAGCATCTGCCTCCGGCTCAGGGCATCACCTTGGGGTCCTGGGATTGAGTCCTGCATCGGGCTCCTTGCAGGGAGCCTGCTTCTCCCTCGGCCTGTGTCTCCGCCTCTCTCTGTGTCTCTCATGAATAAATAAATAAAATCTTAAAAAAAATGTCGATGAATTACTGAACTCTACATCTCAATCTAAGGATGTACTACTATATGTTGTATAATTGCATTTAAATAAAAAAAAAGAAAGAAAGCATCTAAGGCAACCAATCACAGTCAACTAGACTTTTTCAAATAAGGCAATCAGGTAAGCTATAGCCAATCAAATGATTTCCTTGCCTTTGCTTCTCTGTATTCCCTATAGAAGTCTTATCCTTTGCTCCGGGTGGTGGAGCACTCCTAACCACTTCTGGCTTGGCGCTGCTTAATTCAAATCAATTTTGACCATATAAATGTTTACAATTTTTATTATGCTTCAGTTTGTCTTTTAACAATGTTGACTCCAATCCTTCACTCTTTCATACAAAGCAAAAATAAACATCACGCATGTGTTTCTGCACATGTGGGGATGATTCAGCAGACGAGGCACCTAGGAGTAGAATTGTAGGAAAAAAAAAAAAAGGGTTTTGTGGAATGTAAAGGTAACCCATATATGAAAGGGGTTGCTACTATTTGATTTCTCTTATGTTTTCTAAAACAACTGAGAAGTAACAGTAGCAAAGGAATATTCTTTTAAAGATTCTATCTGTTTACTCATGAGAGACACACAGAGACACAGGCAGAGGGAGAGGCAGGCTCCCTGGAGGGAGCCCAACAAAGACTCGATCCGGGGACCCCTGGTCAACACCCTGGGCCCAAGGCAGGTGCTCCACCGCGGAGCCACCCTGGCTGCCCAAACAAGGAATTTCTGCACAACTCCGCAATCCCGGGAAAAGCTACAGTTTGCACAGGTCAGTTGAGCAAGTTCCTGTCTGCACCTGCCATTGAAAACAGTCACTGCAGTAAAAATAATAAAGAGAATGGATGGCCAGAGTGGGGCATCTGGGGAGTTCACGACCAACGGCTGTGCATGGAAGGATACTGATTCAGGGTTCTGACGATTAAGGGAGAAAAGGAATGGGGGGGGGGCCTCGAGGGGAAGAGGGCGCCAGGCCCTTGGGTTCCGGTCCAGGTCAGGCCAGTCCTCGACTGCATCATCTCTATGGCTCACATCGCTTTTCCCAGCTTCCTCGTAAAACACCGGAGTGCAGGGGGAACCCAGAGCGGATTTGGAGTCCCAGAGCGGATTCCGATGGCCTGGGGTCGGTGCGGAGGCGGCGGGAGGGGGCGCATCTGAGACCCGAGCCACCCCCTCGACCCCCCAGGGTTGGGGCACGAGCACCGGGAGGATGGGGAGGGCGGGGAGCATCTCCCGCCGAGGTCCAGGGGTGGGGGGGAGGGGCGCATCTGAGACCCGACCCCCGTGACCCCCAGGGTTGGGGGAGGAGCACCGGGAGGACGCGGAGCATCTCCGGCCGAGGTCCAGGGGCGGGGGGGAGGGGGCGCATCTGAGACCCGACCCCCGTGACCCCAGGGTTGGGGGAGGAGCACCGGGGGGACGCGGAGCCGAGGTCCAGGGGTGGGGGGGAGGGGGCGCATCTGAGACCCGACCCCCGTGACCCCCAGGGTTGGGGGAGGAGCACCGGGGGGACGCGGAGCATCTCCGGCCGAGGTCCAGGGGTGGGGGGGAGGGGGCGCAACTGAGACCCAACCCCCGTGACCCCAGGGTTGGGGGAGGAGCACTGGGAGGACGAGGAGCATCTCCCGCCGAGGTCCAGGGGTGGGGGGGAGGGGGCGCAACTGAGACCCGACCCCCGTGACCCCAGGGTTGGGGGAGGAGCACCGGGGGGACGAGGAGCATCTCCGGCCGAGGTCCAGGGGCGGGGGGGGAGGGGCTTTGACACGAACCGTTTCAACAGGGCAGCGGGAGGAAATGTCAAACGGAAAGAACGAAGGGGCGGACCGTGTTCCCTAGTAGACGGCGCTGCCCACGCCGGGCTCAGCGCAGCCGCACTGCGGGCCCGACCCCGCCCCCCCTCGCCCCTCGCCCCCCCGCCCCCGCCCCGCCCTCGCGCCCCCGAGCGGTCTGACCTGCGGAAGGTCGGAGCCGGGCGCCCGCTGCTCCCGCTCCCACTACGGGGCCAGCGCCGGACGAGCGCGGCCCCGCCCCTGCACCTGCGCGTCTCGGGGTCGCTCACCGGCCCGGCGTGGGGGTCGGCGCCCGCGTCCCCGCCCGACGCCCTCCCTCCCGCGGCCGCGGGTCCCTCAGTCCGTCCCGGAAGCCGCGCGGGAGAGCGGTGCGCCGCGGAAGGCGTCCGTGTCCGTTTCCGTTTCCGCTGCAGGCCCGGCGCGCGGCCCCGTCCGGCGCGGCCCGTTTGTGCCGCGGCCCCGGGAGCAGCCGCGGGGGCCCGTGTCCCTGCCGGACGGCGTACGGGTGCCGGGCGGGCGCCCCCGGAAGTCGGCGCGCCATTGGGAGGCCCGCAGCGGCTGCTCGGTGCCCTTGCTGCCGGCGGCTGCGTCTCGGTCGCGCCCGGAGCCGGGCCGGGCGGGGGCGGACGGCCGAGCGCCCGCGGAGCGTCCTCGCCGGCGGGATGTGGCGACTGCGGCGGGCCGCCGTGGCCTGGTAAGTGCGGGCTCCCGCCCGGGAAGCCGCGCCGCGTCCCCGCCGCCTCCGGCCTGCCCCGGGGCTTGGAGGCCGCGTCGTGCCGGAGCCCGCGCTGGGCTGACCGCCCCCCCCCCGCGCCCCGGGGACCCCCGGCCCCTCCGCGCCTCGCGTCCCTGCGGCCGCCGCGCCCCGCCCCGCCCCGCCCCCGCCGCCGCGGCAGGTGCCCGGGCTCCTCTCCTGCGTCTGCCGGAGCCAGCCCGGGGGACCTCGCGGGCGGCGGCCCCGCTGCACCGCGGCCCTCGGCGCCGAGCGGGGACCTGGCTGCGCCGTGCTGCCCGGGCCTGCCCTGGTCCTGAGCATGGGAAAAAAAGAAAAAAAAGAGAAAGAAAGAAAGAGAAATCCTTCTTCTTTGCACCTTGCCTTAGGGTGCAGAAGTGCACGCCGTCGCGGTCCCAGCACCGCCACCTCCGCGCGCGGGCCGCGTCTCTGCCGCCGCCGGCGCTCGCGGGCTGCCCCGTCGCGGCCTCCCGTGCGCGCCGGTGCAGCCGGTGGGCTGGGGAGGTCCTGCCCTCCCGGAATCAGCCTCGCACCGCCTGCCTTGGACTTCTTTCGGGAGCTTGTTTGAGGGGTGCTTGAGGGGTGCTTGAGGGATGCAGGTAACGCAGAGTTGGCATAAGGAGTGGAGGGCACTTTTTGTTTTTTTTTTTTTTTTTTTTTTTTTTTAGATGAAGGTTCGTTTGAGTCGGAATCTGGATCCGGGCGACCTCCGATAGTCGTAGTCAGAATCATTGCATGATTATTGTTATTGTTGTTTTTTTTTTAAAGATTTATTTATCTTTAAATATCTTATTTAAAATAAATAAGTATTTATTTATTAAGTTTATTTTAGATAAAATAAAGATTTTATTTGTTTATTCATGGTAGAGAGAGAGGGAGAGAGGGAGAAGCAGGCTCCGTGCTGGGAGCCCGACGTGGGACTCGATCCCGGGACCCCCAGGGTCACGACCCGGGACGGAGGCAGATGCTGCACCACTGAGCCGCTGAGGCTGCCCAGCGTAATTATTTGTCATTTTATGGAATTTGAGTTTCTTTTCTTTTTTTTTTTTTCTTTTTTTAAGATTTTACTTATTTATTCATGGTAGAGAGAGAGGGAGAGAGGGAGAAGCAGGCTCCATGCAGGGAGCCGGACGTGAGACTGGATCCCGGGACCCCGGGGTCGCGCCCTGGGCTGAAGGCAGATGCTCCACCACTGAGCCGCTGAGGCTGGCCAGCGTAATTATTTGTCATTTTATGGAATTTGAGTTTCTTTTTTTTTTTTTTAAGATTTTTATTTATTCATGAGAGATACAGAGTGAGAGAGAGAGAAAGAGAGAGAGGCAGAGACACAGGCAGAGGGAGAAGCAGGCTCCATGCAGGGAGCCTGACGTGGGACTCAAACCCAGGTCTCCAGGATCAGGCCTTGGGCCGAAGGTGGTGCTAAACCGCTGAGCCACCGGGGCTGCCCCAAATTTGAGTTTCTGAGTAAAGCCACAGCCCTTGACACTGCAGTAAATTATTATTATTATTATTATTATTACTTTTTACCTTCTTATTTCTACTCCTCACTGTTTCCTGGAGAGACATCATGTAGTCTTACTTAAAAAGGGAAGAGGCTTTGCAGGAAATAGCACACTTCATTGCAACAATTGAGATATGGAGGAAAACTTTTAAGATTTGAGCTTAACAACAGACTGATCAGTAACTGGTGCTCGACTCGTCTATTCAGGTGGGTGCTGTTGGGCTAAATCGTCGATGTTACCGGGGACCCCATAGAGTCATAGCCTGGAAGTGTTTATGTGCACAGCGCAGTCCGGCTACTGCAGAAGTAGAGATGTGGAAGGTCAGGAGCCTCAAGCTCCGGAATTTGTCCTTTGCTGCGTTTCTTCCGTATGTTTGCTACGAAGGAGTACGTTTAGAGTCCCGTTCTCAGACGTGTTCGGGAAAACAGTTTTTGACATGTAAGAAGATCAGTGACTAACATTCATTTAGGTGCAATAACTATTTGTGTGAATATGTCGAAAAAAAGAATTCGTATTAGGCAATGGTGTATAGGTCAAGAGTTGGTAGAGGACAGAGAACACGCGAGTCTGGGAGTGACGGGGCGGTGGTTTGCTGGGCATCACGCTGATTTTCAGTTTGGCCAAGTATGGAAGTCTATACTGCAGATCCTCTTCCTTCAGAAGGGTAACGGCATTGCTACAGTTGTTTCCCCCCTAGCATCCATCCTTTGTTACTGCTACAGACCCTCAGCACGGTCTGATGTTTGTGTGTTTGTAGCCATCCTGTTTTTCTCTTCATGGAGGCCTTCAGGGTCTTGGCCTTATCCTTAATTTCTCGAGGCTCTGCCCGGGTGTGGTCCCCCCCACTTCCACCTTCACCCCAAATCTGGCTTGTTACTCAGTGGGGCTTTCTGTTAAAGAGATATTTTTCTTCAGTTCTGGGAAGTTTTTCTTACTTATTTTCTTCCTTTCACTTTTCCTCTTCTTTTTGTTTTTAGACTCCTGATAGACAGAACTGGTCTTCTCAGATTGATCCTGTATGTCCATGATTTGCAAAATACAATCTGTACTTCTCATACGGTTTTTTTTTTAAAGTAAGCATGTGTCATAATATGTGTAGATACACACTTATTCTTACATTATATGCGGTATCTCTGTACTACATCGTAATACCACCCTAACATAATTTTGAAGAATAAGATACAAAAAAAATACTTTTTTTTAGAAGCTTTGGTACTTTGTTCCTGAGTCTCAGAGAGTCATTTTATGTATCCTGTGGAATGCATTCCCCACACATCCCCACTTTGGATACCACTTCCCTGAGTCACGTAAACTTTTCCCTCACGGTTTCTACCATTTTTCTTTGTCCTAAGTTCCCAAGAATTTCCTTAGTACATTTTCTAGTGTTGCTATTCATTTTGTTAATCGACAATTACAGCTTTAATTTCTTTGAATTCCTTTTTAACATTTATTAAACTCTTAAAGACACGTTTAATTAAAAAAAAATTTGTATTAGAATCGTAGCACCAGGACTACTTGGGGCTGGAGTTTATCTGTTTGTGTGTATATATATATATATTTTTTTCTAATATTTACATTTTTTCTTTTAAAAAAGCAAACAACTTTTGAGGGATAGAGAGCTATTCGTTGATACGTTAGAATTTAGCGTAGTTAATGTTGAAATGACATTTACTGAGCACTGACTCTATGGTCATTGCTGGGTTCTCTCACTTTTTGTTTTGTTTTGTTTTGTTTTGGCTCTTCTCCCCAATAACATATGTTCATCCAGCAAACGTATTAACTGTCTACTATTGTGAAGCACCGGACTAGGCTTTGGAAATACAAGGATAAGCAAGACAGACAGGACTCCCCTGGCCTTATGAAGGTTGCAGTTTATGGTAGAGACAAGTATTAATCCAATCATTACACTATTACACAATACCAATTTTATGTGCATTGAACAAAAAGTATGGGGGAGCTAAGAACTGTAGCAGGGCACTCGAATCAGCATGTTGGTTCCGGGAGAGGAGGGAATGCGGAGGTGAACCCATTTGTGAGTAACAGGAGTTAAGTAGGTAGAAGAGTCTGTGCAAGCACAGTGGGTATCAAGGCCCTGAGTGAGGAGGGAGCGTGGCACATTGGGGGAGCTAGGTGAAAACTGGTCTGGGTGGAGCTCGGAGGCGTCAGGGAGAGAGGCAGGACCAGACTGGAGGGCTTTATAGACCAGGAGTCTGGATTTTCTTCTAAATGTAGGAGGAGACTGAGGAGGTTCATGCAGGTGAGTGACAGCGATCAGATTTACGTTTCAGGAGAGTGGCCTGGTCGTGCTGCGGAAAACACCTCAGTTGAGACTCTTCCAGCATCCAGGTAAGGAACAGGGGTAGAGAAGATGGAAGAAATGAAAGATTCAAGATGGATGTTGCAAGTACAAGTAACAGCACTTGAGGACGAGGAAGGTTTCAAGGATGAGCCCCAAGTTGGTGGCTTATGGGCCTGGACAGGTATTTGTGCCATTTCCTGAGATAGGAAGTACGGGGGTGGGGGGAGGCAGAAAGATACCATGGATTTGGACACTTTTTTGCTATCTAAGGAGTGACGTTCAGTAGGCAGTTGGACACAAGGATCTCACAAGGATCTGGAACTTAACTATTTGTATTAGACATACAAGTTTTGAGAAACCTGGGTATGTAGATGTTCATGGAGGAAATGGGTATGGATAAGATTGTCCAGGAAGAGTGGGAGGATGAGAAATGACTTTACTTCTAGTCCCATGAACTCCCAACATTTTTTTTTAAGATTTTATTTATCTATTCATAAGAGACAGAGAGAGACAGAGAGGCAGAGACACAGGCAGAGGGAGGATCAGGCTCCATGCAGGGAGCCCGACGTGGGACTCGATCCCGGGTCTCCAGGATCACGCCCTGGGCTGAAGGCGTCACTAAACCGCTGAGCCACTGGGGCTGCCCACCTCCCAACATTTAGTTGGGGAGGGGCATCTGGGTGGCTCGGTTGGTTGAGCATCTGACTCTTGATTTCCAGTGGGGTGGAGATGTCCTGGTCCTAGGATCAAGACCCTATTGGGCTCCTCACTCGCTCAGGAGTCGGCTTGGGATTCTCTCTCTCCCTCTGCCCCACCCTCCATGCTGTGAGCTCTCTTTCTGTCTCTTTTTCTCTCTCTTAAAAAAAAAAAAGAAAAAAAAAAAGCTGGGGAGGAGCTGCCTGAAAAAGAGTGGCCAGTGAGTAGGAGTAAAGCTAGCTGCTGCCGGTGTAGAGGGAGTTCCAAGGAGGGGGTGTTGACACTGTCAGATACTGCTGAGAGAGAAAAAATGAGAATTGAAAAAACACACGCCCATTGGAAGGCATCGGGGCACTCAGTGAGGGCTGTTTCACTGAAGTGATACAAACAGAAATCAGGTTGGTTTGGCTTTTTTTTTTTTTTTTTTTGTCTCTTTAAATTGAGAGAGACTTGACTAGTGCGTCCTGAAAAGGCAGGAAGAATTCAGGGGAAATGGAGGAAGATTTGCCTTTGAAGGGAGGAGGAGTACTTACTGTAACCTGGGTGGGGGGGCTAGAGCAGGGTGGGTGCAGATGCCGTGGGGAGGCAACGGTGCGTCTCCTTCTAATGCTTCCATTTTCTCTGGAGAATGGTAGGCAGTGTGGGAGACGTGGGAGCGTGGAGGAGGGTGGAGAGCATCTGAAACGGTCCTGGCAGAAGGGGGAAGGGTGAGCTGATAAAGTTAGATTGTCGGGTGTCCCTGGGGGGCCAGGTGAGATGTCTGTCCGTCCAGCGGCTGCAGCTCTCCCCAGCAGCGCTTCGTTCCCTTGCTGCAGCCATAGATGATAGTTAGGGTCATCTAGGATTTGCATTTTGCCAGACAAGTGTGACAAAAAGTCAGAGGGCAAGTGACTTTACAGTATCTGCAAAAGAGTCATTGCAACTATGAATCAGGGAACTTAGAAGGTGGCTAAGTGGGCAGGTAGGGAGGTGGAGACTGACAGGTAGAGGAAGGTAGAAGTGTCCCTGACTTGGTGGTTCCAGTGGGCTCAGAGGCGGCGTAGGGAAGGCGAGGTGGCCTGAGAGGGTACCCGAATTCGAGATCAGACAGGAGCTCTGGTGCAGCTCTTATCCCATTTTAACAGATTGAAAAACTGAGGCTGTGGTGAGGTCGTAACCTCTCTTGGTTGCACAGAGGTAAGCCGTGAAACGATAAAGGAACCAAAGTTCATCCGGCTCAAGACACTGAGCGGCTGTCGGGACGGAGCTGAACGACCTTTGAGCTGCATGTCGTGGAGCTCCCCCCCCCCCCCCCCCCCCCGATCTGGCCCTTGCTCGGTTTCTGTCTCTGAGTGGTAGCGTTGGTGCCCGCCGAAAGCTCAGGAGTGCCCTGTCCTCGCCCTCGTGCCTGTGTCTGCCCCCATCCGTCCTCGAGCCGCCACCTCCCTCCGGCACCTTCCTTGCCCCTGCGCGGCTGATGCAGAGTGCCTCGTCGCTGCCCCGATCGCCAGGAGTGCACGGCGCCGGCAGTGGGCACTCAGTCCTCCCAGTCCCCGAGGCCGAGCTCCAGGATGCCGGTGCCGGTGTCGTGGGGTCTGGTGACAACTTGCATCCTGGTCCATAGCGGGGCAAACTTCGTGTCCTCCGTGACACGCAGGGAGAGAGCTGTGCTGCTCGCCTCCGTACCCGGGCGCAGGCCCAGCCCAGGGCTCCCCGTCCATGACCCACGGAAAGCACACTACCCCCCCCCCCCCACGCCTTACCGCCAGATACGTCATGTTGGGAATTAGGCTTCCGTATATAGACTTGGGTGAGACACATGTTCAGGTTGTAGCTTGTTGCCCTTAGTATCTTCTTTTATTACTGCTTAATTAATCTTATTCTACTCAAAAACTTTCAGCCAGGGGCCTTATATGTTCATGATTTTTCCTTAACTTGGGCCAACTCAGGATCCCGAAACCTAGGGGACAGGCCAAAGAAGAGCTATTCTAAATTGCTGGATTTTTTTTTTTTCTTAAAGATTTTATTTATTTATTCATGAGAGACACACAGAGAGAGAGGCGGAGACACAGGCAGGGGGGAAGCAGGCTCCATGCAGGGAGCCCGACGTGGCCCGGGTCTCCAGGATCACACCCTGGGTCAAAGGCAGGTGCTAAACCACTGAGCCACCCAGGGATCCCCAAGTTGCTGGAATTTTTGTGCTTAAAAGCAGGTTTGCGTTCACTTTGTTTCTGATTTTACTGACAGTGAATAGCAGTTAATAAATTAAGTCTCCGCCCTTTTTCTTTTTCAGCTTCAATTCCCTGGATCGGGATTGTAGCCCACAGATAGCAAACGGGAGGGCAGGCTCTGGAGTCCCACTGCCTGAGTTTGAATCCTTGTATCAGTGTGGACGCGGGCAAGTTACTTATGTGTGCGTGCCCCCTCCCCTCGTCGGTAGAATGGAGCGAGTATGAGGGTCTTCATCGTAGGACTTTGAGCAGGACTCAGGGAGGCGGCCCACGCTGCAGCAGGGTCTGGGGCACGTGCTAAATGCCCTCGAGATGTGAGGTGTGCTAGGACACCGGTTGGGCACATGCACACGTGCGTGTTTTCTCTTGGGATATTGCTCTTCTTCTGCCGTTTCCTTTGCACTGTTGCCCAGTCTCATCTTGGTCCCATGCTCCTTCTCTTTTTCAGTGAGGTGTGCCACTCCTTAGTGAAACGTAGCTCTGGAGTCCAAGGAACTTTACCGCTACAAAAACTGCATCTGGTTTCACGAAGCATTTATCATTCTCATCATCCTACCTTAAAGCTTCAAAGACCCCAATTCAGGACATCATTTCATCAGTTCTCTTCTTTAACTAACCTTCCATTACGTAAATTGAAACTTTCTCCGATTAAATATGGCTACCAGCCACGCAGGAATTTTTGGCCGGCGAGATTAGCTGCAAGACTCTTAAAACTTCGGTATCTCATCCTAGGATCTGCTGTTGGCGGTGGCTATACAGCCAAAAAGGTGAGTCTGATTTCCCCTCTTTTTTCGGTTATTTCAGCATGATTATTGGAAGGTTTTATAGCATAAATCCCTTTTCTTTAAGTACAGTAGAACATAGTTAGATGTTTAAAAATGTCTTAATGTATCTCTCCCATTACCATGTGTATTTATCGTTTCAAAGGTGCTAATAGGGAAATGCTCTTTGAATCTTGGTTATATTTACAGATGATGAGAACGGCCTAGTGGAAGGAGCACTGGGCTGGGGTGCGGTCACCGGGATCTGATTTTCAGCGTGCCACTTAGTAGCTCAGACAGGAAAGTAGGTGGCATGCCAGCACTCCCACTCCGTGGCCGCTTCAGGAGCAAAGGCAACGTGTCCTGACCCCTAGTTTGCCTTCTATTCCACAGTATTGTTGAAAGCCAAATCATGAAACCTGTTTGAAATAAGACTATCTTCTGAACTTTTACACTTCCTGTATTTCATAAAGGAAGATTTACATATTGTATATGCTTGCCTGCTAATTTATTTTTAGAAGAGCTGAGGCTACTTTGTTTCTAAATTTTTTAACATAATGCATCGTTTTTAATAGATCAGCGTGTTTTGATTAGATACACTAAGGTGGTTTTTCTTTATTTTTGTTTGAGATTCAGAACATTTGATCAGCACACTTTCTTTTCTTTTAGACTTTTGATCAGTGGAAAGATATGATACCTGACCTGAGTGACTATAAATGGATTGTGCCTGACATTGTATGGGAGATTGACGAGTATATCGATTTAGGTTTGTATCATCAGCATTAAAACACGTTTCTTGTTTGTGTCTTTGGGAAATAGAAATAGTGTTATCGAGATAGTTTCTTCACTCATGAGCTTACCATGTAGCAGTTTTTTTTTGTTTTTTTTTTATGATAGTCACACAGAGAGAGAGAGAGAGAGAAGCAGAGACATAGGCAGAGGGAGAAGCAGGCTCCACACACCGGGAGCCCAACGTGGGATTCGATCCCAGGTCCCCAGGATTGAGCACTGGGCCAAAGGCAGGCGCCAGACCGCTGCGCCACCCAGGGATCCCCCCATGTAGCAGTTTTATTTGAATGATTAAAGTAATAGAGTATCCCCCAAAAAAAAGTGGTAGGAAAAAAAAAAAAACAACACCTCGCCCATCACTCTCACATAGCCGCCATTATCCTTATGGACATTTTCTTTTAATTGTAGCTAGTCTGTGTGGTTAACATTTTAGTTTCCTTTTTAAAAATTACATAGCCATAGTGAACATACACTTTGGTTTCTTATCTTTTGCTACCTAACAAATTTGTCAGCTAAACAGCCTTGCGAGAAGTCACTTTCAGTGTTGTATGTTGTTACCCAGGACAGATGCACTGTGACCCCCCTAACTGGCTAACTAGATCCCTTGGTTACCTCTACTTTTTGTAACCAGGTCCCTAAATGCCTGCTAGTGTGCGTAGTAATTTCTCCCCATAGACAGTCACTGTTCTCCTTGTTCTGTAACAGGTATGTGAGGAAAAAAAATATATTTGATAGTTCTGATTGCCAAGATTAAGTTGTGATTTAAATAAATTTTTTTGAATGAAATTATTTTCCTCAGTCTCTTTTTTTAGACTTTCCTAAAACTTTAGTGTATATGGGAGTGGAATTAATCTATGTACTTCAGTGATAGCATTTTCCCAAAGATAAAACTGTGCTGCATTGACAGAGGAACCTGCCGGAATTTGCAGCACTCTTTCAGTATTTTTCTGATGTTCGTGAGGAGAGCCTTTTACCTTGATGGATTTGCGAGTGCCGCAGTGTGGGCGTGAAGGTCTGGATCCTGAAGCTGGACTGGCCAGGCTTGAAGCCTGACTCCCCACTTTGCTCTGTGCGCACGTCCAGATACTTAACCTCAGTGCCTCAGTTCCTCACCCTGTAAAGTGGAGTTGATGATGACTTTTTTGTAGGGTTGCTATGAAGGTTGAGCTGGTGAATGCTTTTACAGCACTTAGAATAATAGCTGACACATATTCCTATTTTGAGAATATTTGTGCTTTGGTCTTCTGCAGAGAAAATCAAGAAAAGCTCATCCTAATTCAGAAGATACTGTAAAGCTGTACCAAACTTTGACAGAATTATTGAGTGTTTGTAATCAAAACTACGTACTTTGACCATTTTATAAATAAAGCTAGCAAAAATAAAACCACAGCTTGCCTTAGGCTCTTAGACAGTTATTTCCAAATAGTAACAAGTGTGAATTTTCTGAGAGTCTGTGAAAGGACAGACCAAAGTATTGGAATTCTGTTTTTGAACTTGGACTGAATTTTCATTACTTTCTTTGGGCCAGGTGTGACAAGAGGCATTTCTCTCTCTCTCTCTTTTTTTTCTTTTTTTTCTTTTTTTTTTTTTTTTGATTCCTGGCCTCTTTGCTGTGACTTTCTCCTTAAAAATACTTCTGATTCCAATATAGTGTTAATATAGTGCTTCTGAGTCCAGGCATTTAACTTATAGATTAAAGGTGTCCATATAAGCCAGACATTTGGTGAGTCTTTTTAAACAAATTTCATGGCTTACGGAATATTCTTAGAGCTAGACATTGTTTTAAATACATGTAGCAGTTGTAGTTGTAATAGGAAGAAAAATAGAAAAGTATTTTAACTTTATACATGGTTATTTAAATTTTATCAATGTTTTAGTAGTGAAATTCTTATTTTGAGAATTTTTTTTTTCCATCTTCAGAGAAAATTAGAAAAGCACTTCCTAATTCAGAGGACCTTGCAAAATTGGCACCTGACTTTGATAAGATTGTTGAGAGCCTCAGCTTATTGAAGGACTTTTTCACCACAGGTAAGGAAGATCCTGTTTGATTTCACTTAAAGTTTCAGAAACCCCAGAGGAAAAATACTGAGATGTATTCATGTGTTGATTCCTATCTTTTAAGTGAAAACATTTAATACAAATGAAAAACAGATTTTTGAAAGAAACGTGCACAAAGTTTTGTTGCTCAGTGGTTTTAAATTTTGGTTAGTGCAACAAAATGAAAATTTGTAAGAGCATGAACATGCCTGGCTTTAGTCAGTGAGGGGAAAAAAAATATCTCTTGTTCCTGACAGGTAGATGAGACTTCCTATGTCCTTGCTTTTCATAATTGCTTAGAACCAATTTGGTGATTTTAAAACAAATTTAACTATGATGGACAATAATGAGTAGAATTTACTGAGGTTAATCTGGCATATTTGCCCAATTCATGCCCCATCATTATATAACTCTGAGATCTCAGACGTATTTGTTTGCTCATTCCTGTCAAATTTTACATTTCTATTTCCCCTTTTGCTGATTTTTCACAGGTCACAAATTGGTTAGTGAAGTCATAGGAGCTTCTGACCTACTTCTCTTGTTAGGTGTGTAAACAGACATTTTTGCTGACCTTAACATGCCTTTTCAATGCTTCTAATAAACTAGTTGCAAATAAAATTGCAGACCAAATTTATGCTGCTTATGCTGAATTTTAAAACTCCAGAACGATATTGGGCAAATTCCTTATCGTACAGGTGAAAATAATCATTTTGCAGTAAAACTAAAATTCCTAAATACATATCTATAATTAAAACTATTAGAAAGTTTGCTTAACCAGAATACTTTAAAATTGATATGATTATTTCTGATAACTGAAATGAAAAGTAATTTTAGTTTGTCTCATCTGTCCTGTCACAGTTGATATGTTAAATTTATCTTGTTACTATGTAGTCTGTAATGGCAGTGGTAAATGGCTGAACTGTAAGTACTCTCTTGGAAAATAATCCTTATCAAAGATTGTCTTTTTTTTAAATTGTAATTTTCAGTGATATTTTAAACATGTCCTATAATATTTAAAAGGTTTTTTTTTTTTTTGCATAAGTTACCAATATATTCCTTAAAATAAGAAAATAAGAATAGCTTTTAATTTTCAAAAAAGTGATTTTTGCTCTAAAAATCATTTGCCTTTAAATTAACTAGACATAAGTTGAATTTGGGCCGTTGGCAGTGATGGAGAATTTAAAGGACTGCATATTTATCTTTAAGGTTCACCTGGAGAAACAGCATTTAGAGCAACAGATCATGGATCTGAAAGTGACAAGCATTATAGAAAGGTAAGTATAAAGGAGAATTCTTCACATAGGTAGTCTTGAAAGAGAAAACAGTTTTTACCTACCTGGAAAATTCGAAAACAGTAACATCTGAGGAGCAAATATAAAAGCATCTAAGTAGAGGTATTTTTAATCTTGGTGCAAAGTGGAGATACTATGTGACAGTTCTTGGAGAGCCCATTTCCTTCAAATGTGTTCTGTGAAATATTAGTTAGAAGGATTGTTTTCAACAAAGGGCATTATTATTTAATATGTATAGGAAAAGCTGATTAAGTAAAACAAGCAGGCTTTTCTTTTCCCTAGGACTTCTCAGACCTTAATATACTTGTATACATTGTGAATCCCAGGAGAAGTCAAAGTGTACAGAGTTGTCCAGATTTATTTAGCAACAGAACCCTTTTTCCATGAAATATATTCTAGGGACTGATGTTTCATGGCATACACTTAGGGAAAATAGTAAGGGACTAGGAAATGGGTTATTAGGGAATAAATTGAACCTGTTACATTAATAGTGAACAGTTATATATGAACTTATTTCAGTTATGTCAATTTCAATATTTATGTTAAAATTCATATGAAAGTTTTGGGAGAATTGCTGATTTAAAATAACACGCATTGCTCTTTATTTATATTCATATGTTAACCTGACATTCTCTTAGTCTTCATTTTATTCATCTTTTGGAATTGGTAACATAACTGATTCCTTGAAAGTTTTTTGAAAAAAAAATTTTGGACAAATAGATACATGAAAAATACTCCATGAACATTTTAAAATTAAATGTGGAGTATGTAGCTTTTATATTGAAGGTTATCACGGTTTTTATAAACTGAAGGGAAATAATTTATGTTTATTTAGAAAGTGGAAAGAAAATAATTCCATACATAAATTTCCATCTGTCTCCTGTCCTTTAACTTTGAACTTTTTACGTGATATTCCAGATTTAAATTCTAGTATTTCAAAAGACTTTCCTCTGGCCTTTTAACTAGATCTTTTGGAGAAAACATTTTAAAATGTGTGTGCATATGTGTGTATGTGTGTAAGTGTATTTGCCTTTTAAGTTGATCTTGTTTGATACCTTTTCCATTGACATTTTAACCAAAGGGGTGGCCTTGACTTTTCATGCTACTGAGGAGAAAAATTTGAATAGCAATTAGCCTATTATGCAAAGCTTATTTTGAGGCAAGGCCTTGGCCCTTAATGCAGGTAGACTTAATGTGCAGAGAAAAGCTAATCTCACCAGGGAGAAGGAAACTCTCCTGCAGGATTAGTAGTGTGGTTTTCGAGCGACGAGATGTCTTGTTGCCTAGATCAGTTAGGGAGGTCGGCATCTCTGCTGTTCTCTGGTATGGCCTAGGATTACTCTGGTGAGTGAAAAACCTGTTTCAGGGTCTAACTCAGATAATCTCCTTAAAATCCTGCTAAGATGCTTAATGAATAATTGGTAAGTGATCAGGAGCTTTGCAATACAGGAGAATGGATACCTGGGAATATAATCATATTCTCAGATGTTATTTTACACAATAGACATAAATGTAAATTTATTGGTTTGTTTTATAATTTACTTTGCTTGAAGGTAAATGCCCTCATCTATTTCCTTATAACTTTCATAATTTATGATGATTATCTTTCTCATTAAAAACTCAGCAATTACTGTTACTAAATCTGGAGTTGTAATTAAGCTGCTTTCATTACAGTCTAAATTAGATTGTAGCAAATGCTAGTATAAGAATTTACAGTAATAGTATTTCCAGCCTCAACTAGTGGTTTTAAATTCTGTTACAGTGCAGCATTTCGTGTTTCAAGATTTGGCTCTTACCGTAATACTCTTACTTGTGAGAGCCCCAGATCGGAAATGCTTTTCAGAGTTTGAAGCAATCATGCCTTAACTTAATGGTTGTCAGGTTTGTACCAAAATTTCTGGCCAGACTTATGCTAGAAATAGAAAAGTAAAGGTAAATCCGATTAAAAAAAAAAAGTAATAAATTAAAAACATTTCTCTAGCTAAAATTAAAAAGAGATTTGTCCTTTCTAATAAAAGAACACAGGGGTACCTGGATGGCTCGGTCTGTTGAGCATCTGACTCTTGGTTTTGACTTGGGTCATGATCTTCCCATCTGATGATGGAGCCTTGCTTTAGGTTCCCGGTTCATCAGGGAGTCAGCTTCCCCTCTGCCCCATCCCCTACTCATGCCAGGGAGCTCTTGCACTTGTGCATGTTTGTGCTCAGTCTCTCACCCGCTCCCCACTTCTCTCCCTCTAAAATAAATAAGTAAATTAAAAAAAACACACACACACATCTGGAGAAGTGCTGGCAAATAGAGGCACAATTAGTACCTTTCAAAGTCAACTGAAGTGAAAATGACGGAGTTGAGAAAGCATAAATGTTAGACTGACCTGAGTCGGACAGAGTGGATAATACAATGAACTAATTACCTATGGCTCCCAGTCTGGAGTCCCTAGAATTTTGGGTACTCTGGAAAGTTGTAATTGAGGTCTACAAAATGTCTACAAAAAGCTCTAAAAGCATATATTTCTGAATAATGCTGCTCAGGCTAACTAAATAGCAAGTTTCTTTTTTTTTTTTTAATTTTTATTTATTTATGATAGTCACACACACAGAGAGAGAGAGAGAGAGGCAGAGACACAGGCAGAGGGAGAAGCAGGCTCCATGCACCGGGAGCCCGACGTGGGATTCGATCCGGGGTCTCCAGGATCGCGCCCTGGGCCAAAGGCAGGCGCCAAACCGCTGTGCCACCCAGGGATCCCAGTTTCTTTGGTTTTACTTAGATTTATATCCATTCAGTTTATGGACAGTAGTTATTTACATCATGTTGACCAGAAGTTCTGATAATACTATCAATAAATTTAAAAAATGGAAAAATATTGAAACCACTTTTCAATAAATGCTGTTAATCAAATTTTAAAATTTGTATCCACTGAAGAAAAATATTAGAAAGAGCCCTTGATGTGAACTGAATAAAATCCTTGAGACCTGGAGACTTTCAGAACCTGAAAGGCAAATTGGGAATTGAAGGAATACGTCTATTTTAGTGAATAATTTGTAAATCTGCAGATTTCTGTATATCAATCATGACACAGATAGGTGACAAGACAACTTAGTGAATCTCCTTTAAGATTCAGTAAGATTGTCTGTTCTAGTGAAAACTAATTTGCTAAATGAGACGTTTTATTATCTGTGGTTTTGTTTTCTCATCTTTATGGTTGGTCATAAACATCTCACAGAAGTAAGCAGCATGGTTATTCTGAACATTCAAGCACATTTATAACTTATAGAAGATATTTGAAGGATCTTTTAAAAGTCCAAATCATGAAGAGTAGTATTACTGTTTCAAGTATAATTATTAGACAATAATTAATGTTTTTCCTTTTCACACGTTATTCTAATTCTTATTTTTGTGGCTTTACTTCTCTTGTATCTTCCAGCTGAAATTTTTCTTCCCTTTTCTGTCAGATTTCTTCTTATTTTTCAAGCCTCACACTATTGTCCCCTTCATGAAGCCTTCTGACTATTTTAGTACTATTAATTATACTCTTAGCACTGAAAAGCTGCCAGCTGAAATATTATTTACTTTGGCTTGCGTTCTTTCTATCATGAAATCTCTTTCCTCAGAACACCTGAGATAATGCTGTGCTGTTGGCAAAACTGATTGATTTAACACAGTAAAAGAGAGGCTAATTGAAATAAATTTCATCAATGCCAGCAAGTAGGCCACAAATTTTATATGTCTCTTCACTGTGATCACATGTGAATTTCTGTTGATCTTTGATATTTGGCAACTACTGAGGAGAATAAGAATGTGAAAGTAGGGCAGCCTGGGTGGCTCAGCGTTTTAGTGCCACCTTCTGCCCAGGGCACGATCCTGGAGTCCTGGGATCGAGTCCCACGTCGGGCTCCCTGCATGGAGCCTGCTTCTCCCTCTGCCTGTGTCTCTGCCTCTCTCTCTCTCTCTCTCTCTCTCTCTCTCTCTCTCTCTCTATCTCTCATAAATAAATAAATTAAAAAAAAAGAAGGACGTATGAAAAGTAGTACCTACGCTTCGTGTTCTAAACTGTAATGAAGCAGATTTGCTTAAGTAAGATTTACGTTTCTGGGATTCCTCATGCAACAAATAATGTAGTAACTGGCAAAATGAAATGCCCACGACCAGCATCATCGCGTCACCACAGATCAGTAAACTTAAGTTTCCTGAACAGCTAACTGGCAGCTGTACTAGGTTAGAATCTTAGCCCGGGAGCCAACCCACTTAACGTCTTTGAGTGTAGTAGTTGGGAAGCAGAGGGATCCGAGAAGAGAAGAGGGAAGATCTGCATGGAGAAAAGTAGAATGGCAAAATAGGCAATCTTATCTTATTCCTTTATAAGCACAGTGTACTTTCATGTCATTTAAGAAACATTAAGTACATATACATAATACTGTTTTTTGGCAAAAATTTAGAAAGGATTTGGTAGGAATTGGGACAATGATAATAACTATTGGTAGATTGATATGTTCATCTCTTAAGATTATCAGTTGTAGAAATTATCCAAGTAGTAAAATTGGAAATGATATTTCTGAACAGAAGCAGGTGAAATCATCCAAATGGAAAGACATATTTCCTTCTGATACCCATTAATAAACATTTTTCTGTTGACCATAAATACTTTGAGCAAAGCTATGTATTACTGGGAGGGGAAAAATAAAAAAAAATAGTTATTTTTAGCTAATCAAATAGAATTATTCAAATTTTGAAAAGTAGTTTAATGCCAACAGTATTTTTTGAATGGGAGAGGAAGGAAGTCTCCACTTTCATGAAGTTCTTTTCTGGACCCAAGTTACTTTTAAAATTAATACGGCACCAGTTGTCACACTCTTCCTTAAAGGGCTAGGTAGTGAATATTTTAGCTTTGTAGGCCCTAAGGTCTCTGTGGACTACTCAGCCAGCCCATCCTCTTAGTAATTCAGATATGCCTTCGGATATATTGTAGTATTACTATTTTCTCCTTTGAAATATGCAGTAGACCTGATGGAGTCAGGGCCACTTTGTAAATAGACCATCTTGCCAACAGGATGGTGTTGGTACAGACTTTGTAGTCACTCTGCCTGCATTCAGATCCTGCCCCTCCTGCTTCCTGAGCTATGTGACCTTGGTTGGACAAGATCATACTCTGAGTTGCTGATTTCCTCTTCTGTAAAAGGGGGAATTCCTACTTGATAGGGTTGTTTTGAAAATTGTGTATAGCCCTTTAGCACAAGATCTGCACATAATAAAACTGAACAAATATTGGCTGTTAGGGTGATGATGATTATTATTACCTTACACTTTTAATTACTAAGTTAACTGCCTATTAACATTATTTGATTAATTTCCTCCCCTTAATTTCTGTGGAGTCTGTTCTGGGGATTATGAAAAATAGGAAAATAGTTTATGGGGCTGATGTATAACTTATTTACAGAATACACATTTTTTTTTTTTAGAAACCCAAATTTGGATATATTTTTTTGGGGGTAAAGATTTTATTTATTTGAGGTAGAGCGAGCGAGCGAGAGAGCACACAAGCTGGGAGTCAGAAGGAAAGGGAAAAGCAGGCTCCCCACTGAGCTGGAAGCCTGATGTGGGGTTTGATCCCAGGACCTTGGGATCATGACCTGAGATGAAGGCAGACACTTAACTGACTAAGCCACCCAGGCACCCACCGATTTGGATTTTATACTAGAAACTAGACGTGCATCATTAGGTAAAAGTAGGTCAGGTCACAGTTTGATTCATTCAAAGAACAAACATGTGCCAAACCCTACTTTAAGTGTCAGCTGTAACACATCTCAAATATCAGGGCTTATTCTAGGTGCTAGGTGTGTGAATAAACAGAATAAGGGCCTAGTTCTGCTGTGAGTTTTTAAAATGCTGTTACAAATACAACATTTTAAATGTATTCATATACGAATGACTTCTAATTTTAAAATTATTTATAATCTTTCCTTTCAAACTCTAACTTTCAGTTTTTTGCATTTTCAGCTGATATTTTGGTTTTTGGAGTTATGCCTGATTTCTTGATCTAACATACAATTTTTTAAAAATCTGACAATACTGTAGAAATACCATTAGACTGTGAGAGTTGTGTGAAATTGACAATAACTAGCGGTTTAGAGAGTGTATCATCTGTAGTTGTTTACAATAACTTGTTATTTACAATTATGTTTTGTATATAATGTATGCGATTTTAACATAATTATATGCTGTTTCTTGAGGGAAAAATGTCTGAGCTTGGGAAAATATTTATTGAACAAAATGTATTTTGTCCATTTAAGGAATGTGTCTTGCACAGTAGTCACATTTCTTTCCCTTCTTATTCTACATGGCCTTAGCTCAAAAACTATAGTTAGGGTGAGATTTGATGCCCAAAATTGAATAAAAGGTAACCTCCTTTAGTCGTAACCTCCTTTAGTCATGTAGTATAGTGTAAATAGTTTTTTCTGTGTCTAATTCTTGTTTTCTTCCTACTTTTTTCAGGAGGTAACAGTTAATTTCAACTATCTTCACATAGCGTGCTTCAGTAACAGACTTGGAAGGAAAGTGAGGTGTCACTAGAAAGAGGGTGTTTGCTTATAATGTAATAGATTATTAAGTATTTACCGTACAACTTGTATATAGATATAAGCAATGGATTAGGGAAGGGTGTTTAACTCAAAAGTAAAAAGGAATCCTGTGCCTGATAGACTAGCACAGTTAAGAAATGTGGAATATTTGCTCACTGCTTTGATGTTATAAATGAGAGTACTGGTGATATGTTAATTAAAGCACAGGTACGCTGCTATGCGAGCCAGCACAAGAAACCTTTAAAAGGGTGTTGTTTTGAGATATCTAAACACTGGATATGAGAAGTAACTATGGCAAATAACTAATAAAAATAAGTTGGATTACTCTTCTTTCTGCTTTATGAAAAACAATGATATGAAAAATGAAAAAGTGACAGATATTAGGGGAATGATGAGGACAGTGAGAGTAGTCAGTTGGCATTGTCTTTCTTTGATAGATCTATCTATTGCCATAAAATTACTCACGAGATCTACCTTATGGATAACCACAGGTTTTTATAAATGTGTTTTGTGCTGTTGAATTTGGAAACAGATGATGACAGTTCAGTTATGTTACCTATCATGTTGATGTTCTCTCACTTGTCATACAGAAATATCAACTAGTTTCATCCTTTGATTTATAGTAAGTCAGTTTCATTATCGTTGGCATAGACTAATGTGTTAAATCTAAGAATCAGACAAAAACCTCCCAAATTATATGCTAATACTTGCTTGCCCTTAATTTAAAATGCTTTAGTATTATATTGGCTTTTCTGTTTGTATTTACTTCTTTTATGGAAAACTTTTATTTATAGAAGTCTTTGGGTTATAAAAGTAAATTATTAAGCCTCTACATGAGTCTGTTAATTAAAATTTGAATGTAACATTAACCAGCATTTTAGGAAACTTTTAGTTTTTTAGTTGTATTATATAAAATACAGTCTTTTGGGCAATAATTTTAAAAAGCTCTGAAGCTATTTGAAACTGCCAATTTAGATTATTTTAATGAGTATTAGTTTTCCTAGCTCTTTTTATAATTTTGGCAAAATTTGAGCCCATTGTTCACCCAGAACATTGTTCTTGTGCAAATTTAAATAGTGACCTCTTTTGTTAGAATGTTACCTCTTCTAGGGTGCCTAATTGAAAAAAATATTAAGCTTATATCAATGTCAATTCTTAGTTGTCTTTTCTCCCACATCTCTTGAGGTCTATCATCTAATAGGCCAGCAATTAAAAATACTGTGCAGACAATTACACGTATTGAAAATTACACGTACCATGCCACATGTGAATGCATTATGATAAAAATTGCACCAGTTAACATTTCATGATTATTAATGGAATGAATTTTAAGCATAGGAATAGTGATTGTGTTGTACATAGATCCAAACTAGGTTTTGTTTCATTTTAAATTTTCATGATAACTGTATTACCTCCAAATCTCAGTTATGTTCTTTTAGAGTGCTTTTGCTTTAGTAATTGATACATTCTTCTGTTTGTAGAGGCCATTTTTTAAACTGAATATCAAAACAGCTCATAAAAAGTGAAAACTCAAACTACTTTTATGCTGTATAAAATTAAAACAATGCCCCAACATTGTCTTTTAATTTGCAAAAAAGAGAATCCTAAATTTTTGTCAGATAAGCTTATTGTGTAAGCATGTAGAATATATAAATTAATGTAAAGCCATAATTAACTTGATGCTTGGAAACTTAAATTAATGGTTTTGAGGAGCTCTAATCCTTAACTGAAGTCATTAGGTATCAAGGAAAAAATACTTAATAATAATTATTAGATAAGCTATTACGTATACCCCATTCAGTCTTGTGAAAATTATGGTTGAGAATTAAAAGATTTTTCCCCCTTTTGTCTCAAGCCAGGAGCATACATTTGTTCCTGTTGGCTATTCAAAAGTAAGGTTTCAAGTAATAAGTTGTTAACTACAATGCCACTTTCCTCGAGGATGCCAGTTAGTCTAGGTTTTACTGTGTGTTAATATGTATCTGGCTCGTTTTAGCCAGCAGACAGACTCATTGCTTTTCACTTTTTAAACTCTGCTGTTTTATATTTCTGAGGCATCTGATTTTACTGAGGGGAAAAATGGAAATGTGGTATGAGCCCTATTACATAGTGGCTCTAAAGGTACATAGACACGTTTCCATTTTTGTTACAAGCTATCCATTCCTCCCTAACTTACATCTTTTCCTTGCTTGTGCCCTTTGGTTTAACATTGTTCTCCTCCCCGATTTTCCTCTTCTCCTCATTGTAAACTCATGGCAGGGTCTGCTTGGTGAGCTCATTCTCTTACAACAGCAAATTCAAGAGCATGAAGAGGAAGCCCGCAGAGCCGCTGGCCAATATAGCACGAGCTATGCCCAACAGAAGCGCAAGGTGATGGATGGTTTAAGGGGGCTACTGATGTGTTCACACTAATCAGCCATTTCTACCAAGATCATGTCACCTTAATCCATTCATGGACTTTAGTTATGAAAAATTATTTTTGACAGTAAAAATATGAAAGATATATAATACAAATATGTAACTTTATTGGAGTGCATAAGTAAACCCAAAATATTAAAAAAGGGATTTATATTCTGAACCTGAGATTACCTGTGAGGGTCCATGGATTTGTATTTGGAGAAGAATCCTGAATTGTGGTTTGCTTGATCCGGTTATTGTATCGAGTCGCCCTCAGTTTGTAGCCAGCTTGTCTATGGTTCTCCCAAGTTTTCATTCCTAAAGTGTAAAGGATTGCTGTGGACGACCACTATTTAAATTATTAAAGAATGAAATATACTTGTTTTAGTAAAATGGATCAACGAAAACATGACTGTTTCTTATAGAAGAATATTATTTTGGTAAAAATTTTGCACAGAATTATTCTTATACATCCTGATAAACTCATTGATTAAGTTTTCCTACAATTATCAGTGAAGTCAACACAAATACATTTTTACCCTGGACTACTGAAGGAGTGATGTTGGCAGTTTGATATAATTCAGGTTGCTAAAGAACAGCTTCTAATAAAAGTTGGCATAAACCCATATAAATATTTGTTTATAGGTATAATCAAGAAGTCCGTGAAAATATGCTTTTGGCTGTTAGATGATCCCACGGTATAGATCCCAAGGTTAATGTTCTGAAGAGACTTACATCAAAACGAACATAACGGCTTTAAAGTTACATTCTGAGATCTTGACATGAGCTTAATTAAATTAGGTGACATATATTAGATCAGGAAAGTTTTAAAATCGTCTACAAATTTTAGTCAGGAAAAGAGATCCAGCCATTTCATTAGCTTCCTGTAGGTCTGGTTTGAAGTCAGCCAGTATCACAGACGATGATTTAATGCAGTAATGTTGCTTCCTAACCTTACCTCATTTGGTGATGGGTAGTACTTGAGAATACTCCTCACGGTTTCCATTTGTCTTTTCAGTGCCCCTTCCTGGCTTTTCTCAATTCCATGGCTGTGGAATCAACTCCTAGATATTAGCTTTCAGAAAATGAACAACATAGGTGGAAATCGAAAATAAGTTATTTTCCTATTTGATTAAGTTCAAGTAGATGTATTAAACCAAGAAAGGGCTTATTTTATATGGTGCTTTAGCGTTCTCTGTTCCATATGTCATTGAAGTGCTATTAAATATTCTAACAAATCGTATGCTTAAGCTAAGCCATCTATTCCTTAGCTTTGTTACAGAAAGAAGAAGGGACTACTATGTTTGGTATGTTAGTTAGAAATATGAAAAGCTCCAGTTACAAGTTCTTGTTTTTTCATAAATGGTAAAATAATTTGAAATGAGTCCCACAGATCTGCTATTCTAAGATATGGCTTAAGATTATCAATATACTTTTGAATCGGATGATTTAAAGGATATTAGTAGTGAATAATGTTCATTTTTTACATTGCCCAAGGTTAGCAGACCTATTTTACTAGAGTATTTTCAGATTTAGAGCTGATTTCTATCTCTGATGTCATCAGATCCATGTAACCCTTTTATTCTTCATTTTCTCCATTTGTAAAATAGCAGCCAACAGACCTGCACCTCCATCTGTTTAGTTTATTGAGGCCTACTTAGTAGAGCACCAGATAGTCTGGCCCACTCTGGAGTTACCCCGCGTGAAAGTAAATGGAATTTCAAAAACAATTCACACTCTTCTATAATGACATCATTCCCCTGACTGTCTTTAAAGATCATTTCCTTACTGTATCTTCCCCCGTTTCTCCCCATAGTGGGTACGCAGATGACTTTTCTGCCCTTCACTGTCCTCATGACCTGCATCCTAAATCGTGAGATTTGTATCATTCCTCCAGGCATTTGAGGTTTTCTTGAGGTACAAAACCACAGCCTTTTGTTGTTTTTTGATCATTCTTCCTCCCTTACCTTCTTGAAAATGTTGAGTAGGCTATCATTTTTTTATATCTTACTAGTAGCAGCTAATAAACTGTCCCTATAGCTCATGCAGAGACAGTCAATTCAAACTGCCTTTGGTAGTTTTGCCTCCTATGAATACATACACATAAGTGGCAATGTTAATGAGTCCTTTACCTAGGTATCTCGGTATCTCAGAATGGCCGCAATAGCTCAGTAGGAAGAAATACTTAAAATATAACACTTGGGCTTGGTTTTGTGAGGAGCTAGTAAAGGTTTTTCTCTTTCAGCTTTAGCTTGTTTCTGCGGAGGATTCCGCTCTTTCTCCATCAGTTTCACAGCCCTGGAATTGTAGAAAAGCTCTGGTTTCAAGACCATTGATACCCATTTCTGTCAGGGTGAGTTTTAATTAATTTTATAATGCAAACTGAATATATTGAACAACAGGACAAGAATTTAACTCTTGTCGTAAGTAGCAGAACTTTACCAGTGAAGTGCATCAACATTAAATATACTCAGACTGCTAGTTAAGTTACTGAATAAGTGACAGATGAAAAATCACATGTGCTGTTCCCTTAAGAAAATATGTAAAAGTATCTTCTCATTATCTTTAACATTTACTTTGTAAACGTAAAGGTTTTCATCTTGTTTCCCAGAAAAGATAACAAGGTCTGATTCTTGACTCCACCACAATACCTGTCTTATAATAGAATGTTAATTTTGATGTTCCATTAAACTGAGCAGATAGGAAGCATAATGATAAAACTATGCATGAGTTATGCCTAACACTTGTGCCGGAAGGGCAAATGATAAATCTAATAAATACTCCTAAAAATCCAAATTATAAAAATCTTAATAGTCATCATTACTAAATACTAATATTAGCATAAATTACATAATTGCAAAAGTCTAATAACTTTGTAACATTTTAACTTTATATATACCCTATTTATTTTACCAAACTACCAAGTTAACCTTCTCTAGACCTTGGCTTGCAGTTAGCATTTTTTGTGTAATTGTATTACTTTCTTAATTATTGTCCCATATGTAGAGTACTATTGGATTTTCTATTATAATTTAGAATATATTGCATGAAATCATTAAATATTCACATTCAAACTAATACTGCTTATATATTTCATACTAATTTAGCTGCAATCAGATGAGTATTTAATGGAACACAGTTACCTTTTAAAATGAATTGGGAATTTAATCTACATAGCAAAATATTTATGACCGCATTATTAGAGTATGATGGCATGCCATGTGAAAACAATGAAGTTGTTTATTTCTTCATCGGTCTTCAAGATTTTGTTCTTCAGGTTGTTGGAGCCTTCCCAACTTGCTTGTTTCCTTACATTATAGAAGACTATTAGTAATTCTTGTCCATTTTACACAGTCAAATGAGAAAGCTGCTCTCTGTGTCTGCTTGCTATACAAGAATGAGAAAACAGTAATACAGAATTTTTTTATATTGTTTTTTTCTAATTACTGAATCATTTGGAGATTTTTAGGTATAGACTTTTAGGGAAAAAATAATATTTACATATGGTTTGTCATTTTTATTTAAAAGAAGTTTAGGGAATACTTTGAGAAAGTATTTGGAAATAGGAATTAAAACCTCAGAATATCTTTATTGTGTGGACAAGAGTTATTAATATCTACCGCAAATCATTTAAATATTTTTCATATATATTTGATACCATGATGTCTTGATTGCTTAAATAGCCACTGAATGAAAGTGAACAGGACTCCATGAATTTTACCTTGAGTTTTGTCTCCTATGAAATAAATTCATATTTATGAATTTTGATTATCAGAGATTAGACAATTATTTTGAAAGACGGAGTATGACAACTTCTGTCTTCCTCATCAGGGAGTCAAAGCACAGTTACATGGACTTGTCATAAATGACATCATTTTAATTAAAACTGATCATTGTGTTTTATATTTAGAATTATACTCTGACTAGAGCCTGTTAATGCAGTAAAGTTCTTTGTTGTTTTTGGATATTTCATCTTAGAACTATTAACATTAATAGCAATTGGGAGTAGTTTCCACTATAGCTATAAATTTTATCCTATTTTTTTGTTTTATGTTTAAATCAATTACAGTTGCCTTACTCAACTTTATCGCTACTGATGCATTCACTCTGTTAAGGGTTAGCAGATCTTATGCTGGAATTGAATTTAAAAACAAGTATCTGGCTCTACTTAAATCTCTGAAAATACAAGTTGTTTTTTGCATTTATTAGATATTTCCCTATTTACAGAATAGAAATGGATAATAGATGCTTAACATATACACTATGACCAGGGAATGTTTTCAGTAGCTATAAATGATAACATGTATCTAGTTCCCCAGACACATTTCTGTAGGTGTCAATGCTCTTTTTCTCCAAGCATCCAAATGCCTGGGGTTGAGTGTAAAACAACCTATGAAGACTGTAGTAACCATACATGTTGATCTCTTATTTTTCTAACAAGCCATTCATCAGAAATGACTAGAATAGCATCTGGAAAATGATTGCTTTTTAAGGTTTTACGTATTGATACAGTTACAAAATTTTGATAAGCAATTTTAATGTTGAATACAGATGTTTCTTTATTAAATCACTTGATTTAAAATTTACTTTGATTAAATATGCATATAAAGTCAGTAGTTTTTATTTTAAAGATACTTTTCAAAAAATTTAACTTACTGTACATTTTATATAAATCTATTTCTACTGGAATAAAATTAATCTTTTTAAATATTCAGGTGACAGACAAAGAGAAAATTGACCAGCTTCAAGAAGAACTTCTGCATACTCAGGTAATTCTGATGAGTAGAAAGAACCAGGGACTTTATCTTATACTTAAGTTTGATGATGTGGGAATTTTTTTAAGAGAGCAAAATTTGAAGTGGTTTGATGATACAACCTTATTATCGATAGATGTAAAAAAAATGCAAAAGTAAATTGAGAAGTAAAGAATACAAAAGGAACTTGATAAGTATGATTAACTCCTTTATGTATAAAAACCTGCTTTTGAGTGAATCATGTGCTTCTAATTTTAAAGAAAAACTGCTATGGGGAAAAAATGCAGAAAAGCAACTTTTTCTTATATAGACCTATGCTTGCATTTTTACATTGGTAGGCTAAAGTCATAGAAAGTTGATTTGAGTCCACTATAGTTCGAGTCATCCCTCAGGATCATTTTCCTTTACTTCTCTAAATCCCAGGACCAATCAGTTAATGACTTTTCTAAATGTATTTCTGGCACTAATTTGAAAAGCTCTTCTCCTCTAGTTAATTTACCATTTTTTTAAAGACATGTTTTTCTGGGCAACCTGATGAGTTGGTAAATTCTAGTGCAAAATTGCCTTGTCACCCACTCCATCATTAATTCATATATTATTATCATTATTAGTGTACTATAATGTAATTTAAGTATAGTTGTAATATATAACAGTTATGTTAATTTACATAGATAACGATATGCAATGATTAATTTTTTGTTTTTTATGTTAAAACTTTTTAAGGGAATGTCTTTTGGGAAAAAAATAAAAGCGATCTAGATGAAATTAAATATATTTCAAGTCACAGGTTTTCCTAATATCTGTGCATTGATTTCCTTGATACGTATGCATTGATCCTCATGTCTGGCTCTACCATAGAATCACTTGTGCTTTGGCCATCACCATGTATGTTTTTAAAGGCTTCCTGGCCAAGGAATTCCAATCTTCAGTTCAGCCAGAGGTTAAGAATCGTTGGTCTCAAAGTGTAGTCTCTTGGAGCAGTTGCATCAGTATCCTTTCAAGAACTTGTTAGAAATGCAAATTATTGACCCCTTCTTAATAAACCTCCTGAATCAGAAACTCTAGAAGTAAAACCCAGCAGTCTTTCTTTTTAAAAGCCCCCAGATGATCCTGATGCATCCTTAAGTTTGAGAACTATTGGTCCTAGGTCTCTGGAGGACAGCTCAGTAACACATCTCTGCAGGATGGCTGCAGATGGTACCTATACCAAAGATGGTTCCTTCTCTGGAATGTAGACCCCGTAATTGATTCTGTATTTACAGAGAAATGAGCCAGTGTCCTACCACCCTTGTATATCCATTGATATCAACTCTCTGACTTTTGCAGATTAGTAGTGTCAGCCAGTGGGCATTGACACACTATGTGAACATTTCCCGACAGTAAGCCGTGGGGCTATCTATATCAGTGGTGTGCAATAGAAATAGAATGCAAGCCACATGTGTAATTTAAAATTCTTAGATTCCAGAAAGATAAAAAGAAATAGGTAGAACTGATTTTGGTAACATATTGTATTTAACTCTGTAAATCCCAAGTTTGTATCATTTAAACATGTAATTAGTATAAAAATGGTAAAGAGGTATTTTAGTTACTCATTTATTTACTGAATGGTAAAAATCGCTGAAAAATTACGCTGAACAGTATGTCTCCGTTCCGACCAAGCACACTGCAGAGCGCCCTACGGCCCCAGGGGCTAGTGGCTACCGTGATACACAGCCAGGATCTAATCATGCAAGAATTTTGTTGTATGTGTTACTACCACATACAAATGGACCAGTGTTGTTGAAGATGCTTACGGCAGAGTCTAGCTTCTACCTATCCCATAGTATAGTCCTACTGCAGAACGTGCATTTTTAAAATTTGACTGAAGTTGGACATTCCCTGAGGATACAGCCCTGACTTCCTGTTACTTACTTTGTTCTTAGAAGATTACAGCAACCTAAAAATTTTCCTAATAATGATTTTCCATTTTGAAAGCCATGATATAAGTTGGACATAAACATTTTCCTGGTTGTAGGAAGAAGTAATTCTTATTAGTGTCTGAACACTATTCATGTTTAGAGAAGAAATGATAGTATACACACTGAGATGACCAAGTAGGAAAGGATCACATTTATTTGAGGAGAAAAATGTGTAGCTAAGCATCTACTTTGACAAAACAAGCTTCTTTAAATCTGTTTTTGTATCAGTATTTTAAAAATTAATGTGTAATTCTCTGGCCATGGAAACTTAACCAAAATTTGGAGAATTTGAGCTCTTGACTCTGACCTATATTCAAAACCCTGTGACCTTGGATATGCAACCAAGGGTCCCTAACCTCCGGTCCCTAATCTAGATCACCTTCACCTCATGTAAAGACTTAAGGAAGCTAATGAAGGTAAAACACTCAGCATCCAGCCTGTTGTTACGTAATACTCAGGTACTTTTAGCTGTTGTTCTTTTATATCGTTTTAATTACTATATAAAATAACGTGGGTAATGGAAAGAATTTGAATTTTTGTCAAATGTCCCTATTATGAAGGCTTAAATTTTTGATATAATAGGAAATCCTGTTTCAGAAGAGTGCACTTAAGGACTTGCTTCTTTAAATTCTTATATTTTAGTATTTTTAAATAATTCAATTTCTTCAATGTAAACAGCAAAGAATTTTCCAAATAAAATGCTGAATTTCAATCGAAAACTGTAATGAATACCCCCATTTGTATGATAGAATTTTCATAATTTATTTTATTCTCTCAACATTTTCAAAGCTTTTTAAATGAAATAATTCATTTTAAATATTCTGGAGATATGACTTCAGGATTTTGGAAGATTTTGATTTAGACTTAATTAACTCATCTTTTTCTTATGTAGTCATGGTATTATTTTGTTACAGTTAAAGTACCAGAGGATCCTGGAGCGATTAGAAAAAGAGAACAAAGAATTACGAAAATTAGTATTGCAGAAAGATGACAAAGGCATCCATCACAGAAAACTTAAGGTATTTTCAATTTACCTTAATTTTGTTAGTTCCAGAACTTTGCCACTTCGCATTGTGCATTTGTCAATACTAGTTTTTAAAAGTCTGTCCTTTTCTTTCTAACCTGGTATTCTTGGGAGATAGGAAAATCTTTTCCTATATTAAGACACTTCATAAATTATAGTCTCCAGACATTTGTTTCATGTGAGGCCCATAGAATCTTCATCCTTTTAACAGTTCTTGTGAATTTATTTTTTTAAATACCTAATTGTTTTTAGGCTTCTTTAATTCCTACAGCTATAAATCAGAATTGTGAGTTGAGGGCCGTTTAGATATGACTTAGCATCATAACTTATTTATATTTCCAGTGAATGATTAGTCCGCCATCTTCAGTTTTAAATGAATTAATATTTTCTTCTGCAAGGTTTCTTAGGCATTTTAAAGCATTTTTGAAAAAGCATATGCTGGTATTTTTATCATCAGCACATTGGTAATTACCATTATCAGTAAGTTAAATCTCATTGCCCACTAAACCAAGCTGTATGTGCTGAATTAAATTGAAGTAATATTTTTAACTTTAATTTCATACAAGTAAACAATTTGTGTGTAGTAAACCTACAGTAAATCATTTCAGAAGTATCCTGAAGCCTAAGTCCAAAGAAGTAGTTTAGTTTGACCGACATGTATTAGTAGTTCTGATGCTAAATCATGACTGCCTAAAACAAATAGCATGGCTTTATTCACAAGTGACACATGGCAGCTGAGAAAAGTCATGTCCAAGTGTTAATATGCTTTGAGAGTTCACCTCAGAAATGGCATTTTCATAGGATGAAATGGTAATGAACATTTCAAGAACTTTATTTTTTGGTGGAAGGAATAGCAGTTGCTTTCTGTGTAATTACTTGTAGGTGTTAAGAGATGAAAGGAAATGTGGGCCCTCGTTTTGTTCCTACCGTGCACTGAAACTTGTCTTTAATTATTACGTGCTTGATAGTAGCCCTTTTTTCCTCCTACTTTTTTGTTTGCCCATTCGTTCATCAGATACTTTTCTGAAGCTTATTTGCCAGGTACCAAGTTCTGTCCTGGTTCTAGAGAAAGAAACAATGCAGGATATCTGCCTCTGATGCTCTCACACTTGAGTCTGCCCAACTCTCATAGTACACTTACTCATTCCTACTGATTTAACAGTCTTGTGATTTCTTCTTTACTTTTATCCTTTCTAAAGTTTCTCTCTCTCTCTCTCTCTGCCACCCCCCCCCCCCCACATCTCTGATATACATACCAAACTTGATACAGGATGATTTCCTTGCAGTTGGTCACCTGACTCCTTGTTTGGCCTTTGTGGTGTTAATAGTCTCCCTTTGTTTACTATTTAATATTAGTTCTTAAATATTAAACAGTAACTTCCCTCTTTTAACATTTAATTGGAAGATTAGGAAAGCCTCAGTTAATTTACTATATTAAAATCAGCGAGACACCTGGGTGGCTAGGGGTCCCGGGATCGAGTCCCATGTTGGGCTCCCTGCATGGAGCCTGCTTTTCCCTCTGCCTGTGTCTCTGCCTCTCTCTCTCCTCTCTGTGTCTCTAATGAATAAATAAATAAAATCTTAAAAAATGAAATAAAATCAGCATATCTCTAAATAAAACAAATTGAATAAGAAAAAATGAAATTTTATTCTATACTGTTTTACTATGAAAGTGTATTTATGTAGTTAGAAAAAAAATACAATCACTATGGAAGAACATTTTGTATTTATCAGCTTTTTTCCCTCTTGACACATTTATTTCTAAAATTTGTTCATTGTTTAATATTAATTTTTAAAATTTCACAGAAATCTTTGATTGACATGTATTCTGAAGTTCTGGATGTTCTATCTGATTATGATGCCAGTTATAATACACAAGATCATCTGCCAAGGGTAAGTGAAAAATTAATACACAGTGAACCTGTTCTTTAGCAAACGAACACTTTAGGTTTTTAAAACGTTATATAAAAAAATAAATAAATAAAAAGTAAAAAAATTAAAAAATTATATATACATACATACATACATACCCAGATACAATGTAGACATATATATATGTACACATCACACAGACATAAACAGAGACATATATTTTTTACTTATATAATATTTATGTGCTCTAGATGATGTCTTAAGCACTAAATGTTGTTTGACTCTTTTGGTCCTTTAGCTTACTTATATTTATGTGATGAAGCAAGGTCATCAAGTATTTGGCATTATGTATTTATAACATCTCTGAAACTGAAAAAACCTGAATAGTGGATTAAATTTATCAGCAAGTGAAATTTAACATCATAGAATTAAAAATGTCTTTATACAGAGTAAACTAGCTGTAGAACATGAACGATCTGGTTTTAGAAGTAGTGGTTTAAATAACACAAGTTTTTGTTAAAAATTTGGTTCTAAATAATGGACCCAGTTAATATTTTGCTATTTATATTTTCAATTTGCATAGAGATAACAACCATCTTTGTTTTAATGAATGGGATTTTTAAAATTATTTAACTTTAGATATTTTAAAAGACTGAAAAATCTCAGCAGTATTTCAAATCTATTTAAAGATAAGTTTGTATTTAAAACCTGAATTTAAAAAAAAATCTGAATTAAATGTTATTTGTTCTCTGTTAAGGTTGTTGTGGTTGGAGACCAGAGTGCTGGAAAAACTAGTGTGTTGGAAATGATTGCTCAGGCGCGGATATTCCCTCGAGGATCTGGGGAGATGATGACACGCTCTCCGGTTAAGGTAGGACAGCAGCTCATCAGGATGAAGCTCCTTGGAAGGTAGCTACTACAGTGAAGTTTGTTCATTGTGTTGAAATGAAGAATTGTAACTGAAAAGAACTGATGCATAGTATTGGGAATTACTCCCTATTGTGGAAATTGGTGGAGGCACAGCCTAGAGGCCAGTGTGACAGGAGCCGAGAGGGTGATAGAAGGAAGATGGGAGAGGAAGGCTGAAGCATGGTGGGCTGGGCTACACAGAGCCATTGTTAGGACTCTAGATTTTATTCGAATTGAGGTCAGTGAAAAGAGTCAGAAAATGAGAATATTGAAAGTGGAGTCAGTAGATACAATTTTCCAGTTTTACTGTAAGAAGACTAGAGTACTGGGGCAGTAGCAGTTGAAATATTTTGGGTCAAGGGACAGATAACATACTGATTGTAGTGATCTAGATTGAGAAGTAAAAATGACGAGGTGAGAGAGGGAACAATTGCAGTAGCAGAGTCTTTGAGGTAAAAGGCTGGGACTCAGCATGCAATAGAAAGAAGTTATAACAGTTCATCCATGGTCACAGCAAGAAAGTCTGTAGCTACAGTCTTTCATTCAACAAATACTTTTCGAGTGCTTAATATATTCCAGCACTGTTCTAGACAGTGTGTTAGTTAAGCAAAACAGATTCTTGCCATAATGCAGGGCATGTTCTAGAAGGGGAAGCAGGCAATAAATAATAAGCAAAATAAATGACTAAATTACATAGTATGTTAGAAGGGGTAAGCGTTGTGCCACCAAAAAAAAAAAGTGGAGCCAGGTAAGGGGAAGGTGCCAGGAAGACTGCATTGAAGTGACATTTGAACCAAGAGTTGCACAAAGTGAGAGAAGAAGTCATGTGGATATCTAGTCCAAGAGTGTTCCATGCAGAGAAAAAGTTAGTGCAAAGCCCCTGAGGTGGTTAGGTGGCTATTGTATTCGAGGCCAGTGTGGCTAGAGCAGAGTGAGGAGTAGCAGATGATGAGATGAGACGAATAATGGGACGCAGGGGGAAGTAGATTATTAAGGCCTTGTTGGTCATTGCACAGACTTCAGTTTTTATTTTTAATAAAATAAGGAGCAAGTCCAGGGTTGTTGTTTTTTTTTTTTCCAAGTCCAGGGTTTTGAACAGAGTAATATTACCTTTTTTTTTTTTTGAGAGCAAGAGAGCATGCACACACATTGAGGGGTTGGTGCAGAGGAAGAGGGAGAGAATCCCAAGCACACTCCGTGCTGGGTACAGAGCCTGACTTGGGGCTGATTCCAGGGCCCCAAGGTAGCGACCTAAGCCAAAATCAAGAGTTGCGTGCTCAACTGAGCTACCCAGGCATTCTATATGGTACTACTTTATTTATTTATTTGTTTGTTTGTTTTATTTATTTATTTATTTATTTATTTATTTATTTATTTGTTATTTATTTATGATAGTCACAGAGAGAGAGAGAGAGAGAGAGAGAGGCAGAGAGGCAGAGACATAGGCAGAGGGAGAAGCAGGCTCCATGCACCGGGAGCCCGACGTGGGATTCAGTCCCGGGTCTCCAGGATCACGCCATGGGCCAAAGGCAGGCGCCAAACCTCTGCGCCACCCAGGGATCCCTATGGTACTACTTTTTAAAAAGCTCATTGTGGTTGCTGTGTTGAAAGTAGACATAAGCAAGATAGGTAGAACCATGGAGACCAGATGGGGAGCTATTGCAGTGTTGAGGTGATGTTTTAGACCAGGGAACTAGCCAGGAAGGTGATAAGAGATGGTTAGATTATGGATCTATTCTGAAAACAAAATCACTAGGATTTCTTGACGTACTCGATATAGAGAGAGGCAGTTGTTAAGATGACGCCAGTGTTTTTGGCCTGAATAAATCGCAGCATGTAATTGACATGGGGGGGGTCATTTTTTTCTGGGGCTTCAGCACCTTAACCCAGGGCTGCTTGATATCCTGATCTCTCATCTTCCTTCTTCAACCCAGTAACACTGCCTCAAGTTTTAACTTTTTCTCTTACGCTACCCTGTGCCACAAATCTGCAAGCACCCCAGGGAAAACAACCATAAGAATGTGCCCTGGGGATCCCTGGGTGGCGCAGCGGTTTGGCGCCTGCCTTTGGCCCAGGGCACGATCCTGGAGACCCGGGATCGAATCCCACATCGGGCTCCTGGTGCATGGAGCCTGCTTCTCCCTCTGCCTGTGTCTCTGCCCCTCTCTCTCTCTCTCTCTCTCTCTCTCTCAATGTGTGCCTATCATAAATAAATAAAAAATTTTTTTAAAAAAAGAATGTGCCCTGAATTCCTCTGGGGTCTCAGACCAAGGCCAAGCAGCCGTGGTTGCTCTCTGATGCCTTCAAACAGCTGAGTTATGTTGGTTACCTCGCCTGCTTAGCTAGTCTCAGTAGAAGGAATTGTATTTTAAAAGTGAAATAGAATCATTCTAAAGAAGCTTGAAAGTTATGAATGAAAAGTAAAGGAACATGAAGTTTAGAAGTTGTCATGAAAGCCCTGATAGTTGATATATAAGTTGCTAGAGAACTCCTTGTGTGAACGTCACACTCCTTAGGTGAAGGCTGCCTTAGCTCCCCTGTGGTCAGTCTTGTGTGCACCTGGGTCTGCTTCACTGTCCTGTTGGCTCTGTGTGTATTTCTCCCAGGAGGTAGTGAGGTCTAAACCAGGGACAGTGGGTTCTTTGTTTCCCCTCCTGCAACACTTGACGCAGTGAGCCCTCAATAGATAGAAGTTGAATAAAAGGATTGTCCTTTACTTAAATTAACCTTGGGAGTTAAATGCAAGATTTCTTTTTGTCTCTGAAGTTTGAGGTTGATGGTTTTGTGCTTAGGCTTAGTAGCATTGGCTGGGAAAGGAGAAGGGTGGCAGCATTTTATTCTAGGTCATGAGAGATAAAGAGTAGCCGGCAGTCTTGTTGGGAAATTACAGCACATGCAACAGATGTATGGACAGTACAGATAAAAAATTCTGTAGTCTCGGCACTGACATGTTGACAGCCTTCCGGTATATTCCTGAAGTGTACTGTGAGGGGATGCCCGGGTTTATGCAGTGCAGTGGGCCGAAGACCATATAAGGCCTATGGGATCAATATGAATTGTAAATGCATTACTGCATCTCGATTTTCCGTTGATTTCAGGTGACCCTGAGTGAAGGTCCTCACCATGTGGCCTTGTTTAAAGATAGTTCTCGGGAGTTCGATCTTACCAAAGAGGAGGATGTAAGTAGAATTTACATGAGGTTCACGTGTGTAACTCTGTAACTTGTGTAAGCTTATGAAAGACAACTAACTGGAATATTTGTTAGCTGCAGATTTTCATAGGATTTTGTTGTTTTCCATTAATAGCTTGCAGCATTAAGACATGAAATAGAACTCCGAATGAGGAAAAATGTGAAAGAAGGCTGTACTGTTAGTCCTGAGGTAAGTGTTATAATTCATTTTAACAATGTTCTATGGAAATCCAAAGTTTATGATTTGATATAAATCATGATATTGGCATTCATGTTTAGATTGCAGCTATTCTAAAATACATAGATTTTTTTTAATATTTCAAATAATGTATCATTTTATGGGTAGTTATCTAGAATAATTAACTAAAAAGATCAGAAAAAGAGTAACTTCTTTCTGAATGGGTGAGGTACAGAATTTTCAGAATATATATCATCAATAAATTCCTGACAAACTGCCCCCGACAATTAGTTTTGTTTTTGTTTTGTTCCCTGAGTAGACCATATCCTTAAATGTAAAAGGCCCTGGACTGCAGAGAATGGTGCTTGTTGACTTACCAGGTGTGATTAATGTAAGTGTATATAAAACATATATTTTTGTCTTGTTCCTATTGTGAAAAATATGTATAATGACATTTAAAACCTTTTTCTTCAAGACTGTGACATCAGGCATGGCTCCTGACACAAAGGAAACTATTTTCAGTATCAGCAAAGCTTATATGCAGAATCCTAACGCCATCATACTATGTATTCAAGGTAAATCTTATCAAAAGGTTTTAACTGCACTGATATGCTTCCTTCGTTAGCAGTCTCAGCTTTGCTCTAAATGTGCGTGTTACATAAACATGAAGGTAAATATGTCTTGCCCTCCCTTAAGTCACTCATTTTATTAGTAAATAGAATTGAAGTTGGGAATATTCTGATAAATTTCATGTAGGCATCAAAGATCTTTATTGACTAGAATTTCTTCTCATAACTACAATAAATGAATTAGAAATATTTTCTTAACTATAATGTAGATACAAGGGTGTAGCATATAGAAATTTTAAGATCTACTTTGCAGTTGTTACAGTGTCGTTTTTCAAATTTTTTTCAGATGGATCCGTGGATGCTGAACGCAGCATTGTTACAGACTTGGTCAGTCAAATGGATCCTCATGGAAGGAGGACGATATTTGTTTTGACCAAAGTTGACCTGGCGGAAAAGAACGTGGCTAGCCCAAGCAGGGTGAGGGAAGTTCTGTACTGTCACCGAACAGTCTCTAGGGTACAAGCTTCAGCTATGACAGGGACTCGTTATACAAACAAAAACAAGCAAACAAAAACTTCTGTGGATTACTTTAGTGGGATTTTTCTTATGAAAAACAAAGTATTAGAAAGTTATAGTAAATTCTTAAGTGCAAATTTGAGATATAAATAAAATCCCATAATTTCGGTTTGTTTGCTTCAGAAATTCTTAGAACACTATATTAATGTTGCTTACTCTGATTTAAATCTTGTATGCTGACAGTCATTAACCACTTATTAATTAACCACAAATTAGTAACAATTGTGGTGTTTCTTTTCTAATTTGTTTTTAGTTGATGTTCATAAATTAGTGAAGACCTAGTGACACTATAGATTCCTTTTGGACATTGTGTCCTCCCCCCCCACCCCCGCCCCAAAATAAACATTATCTTTCCTAACTGATCAAAGACTATGAAGCAGATTTTTCTAATAGGGAAGGCACTGGATTGGGGTCAGGCCTCAGCATTCTTATCCATGCTCCACTACCAACTGTCTCTGTGTCCTTGGGCAAATCTTGTTACTTCTCTGCATCTAGTTAGTGCATAATCCATCCTATTAATCTAGTTGATCTCTTGGGTCATTTTCTTTCTGAAATTCTGCAACTTTATATGCGGGGTTCAGTGTCCCTCCTGTCCTTCTCCTGTATCAACAAAAGAGTTTTATTTCAAGATAACATTGTAAGTGATATTAGGATGCAGGTCCTGACTGAGGACACGTTCTTTACTGAGTTGTAAAGGAAGAAGGTAGCGGTTGAGAGTACAGAATCTAGTCAGAGTGCTTGGTTTCAAATGCTGGCTCTACTGTTTGCTAGCTGTGTAATGTTGGGTACATTTTTAGACCTCTTTAGTGCTTTCAGTTCCTCATCTGTTGGAAATGAAGATATTAATGGTACTATCTCATAGGTTGCAAAATGAGTAAAATATTTGTCGTAAAGTGGTTAAAATAATGCTTGTCATGGTCTTATATACATGGTGGCTGTCATCTGCTATTGTATCTTGATTCCCCCATAGAGCAACTTCGGATACAAGTGTGCATCCCTTGTGCTACTGCGCAGAGTTTCTCTCCTTCCAACTTTCTGCGAGTGTGCCTCTTGTGCTGGGTTCCCAAGATAGACCACCCCAAAGCTCACTGATTCTATAGAAGGACTCCTAGGACTCCACACAGTCATCCTTAAACCTAAGATCAGTTAACGGTGATTGGATACAAGGCCAAATCACAAAAGACAAAGTGTAAGAGATGGTATCTGGCGGATACCAGGCTCAGGTTTCCGGAGCCCTCTCCCAGTAGAGTCCTGCAGGAAGTGCTTATCCCTCCAGCAACAAGTTTCTCATGAGAGACTCCGCTCCTAAGGTTTTGACTGGGGGCTGTGCATGTAGGCACCCTCAGATTCCAGACACCCAAAGGAAAGCAGATGTTCAGCAGAAACCACACTACTTACACAATGAACCACTGTTATATGGGGAAAGTTTTGTATCAATGTGGTAATTGTTTACCACCGAGGTCCTCAGATGCCAGCCAAGGACGAGCAGGCCTTTCCAGGACAGCAGTCCCAGACCTGCTATGTTAACTCTTCTCTGCACAGCCTCCATGACCTTTGCTTTGCCATATTTTGAGGGGGGAGGCCTACTGTGGTGGGTAGTGGTCCTGGTATGGAGGCGGGGAGAAACGAGGTAGGAGCAAACTCTGTGCCTCCTTCCCATGTCTCTTCATTTCTTTCATTCCTTTCCCCTCTTCTCTAGGATAGTGAGTTTGTATTTCTTTTGAAATGCAGTTGAAGTTTATATCAGTCCTTTGTTATGCCAAAGAGTCAGCATTAGCTCAGGAGTGTAACTTGTCTTAGAGGAGGGATTCTTATCTCAGTGTTAATGTGAACGGGCTCCTGAGAGCAGGAGCACTCAAATTGTGTGAATGATAGATCTCTGTGCAAATACGCATTTTTCTGGAGACAGAGTCTTTAGTTTTTATTATATTTATAAAAGGGTTTTTGACCCTAAAAGAGATGAGAGCCAGTGGACCCGAATATTTTAAAAAAGGGAGTAAAATAGTACAGTCCAACTTGGATAGAATATATCTATTTGAAGAAGAGCATGGGGAAATAATCATCGCTGCTGCCATTTATCGAGTGCCCCTGCGTCCCTGGCACTGTGGGATGTATCATAGTGCCTCAGAGAATCTTCTCAACAGTCATTTTGAAAAAAGTAAGTAGCTCCTTAAGGCGTTATAGCTAGTAAGTGGTGGAGCTAAAATTAAACTAAGCCTGACCCCAAAGCACTACACGTCATTCCAAGTTTTAATAATGCATTTATGTCTTAATAATGTATCTTTTAGTGTAGTGAAATTAAATATTTTTCCCTCAAATAGCAATTGAAAAACATTTTGATACTTCTGTACAGATTTATATATATATATATATATATATTTACAGCATTATTAAGTTTGCTTTCTGAATAGTATGTTATGCTTTAAAAACCTTACATAAACGAACATCTCAAATTTTTTTCCCACTTTTAAAAATAGATTCAGCAGATAATTGAAGGAAAACTCTTCCCAATGAAAGCTCTAGGTTATTTTGCTGTTGTAACAGGAAAAGGTATGCAAAGATGGATTATTATAATTTAAGTTTTTGTTGTCTTCAGATAAGATTAGTTTTCTTACACCTCCATCATCTTTTCCTAGGAAACAGCTCGGAAAGCATTGAAGCTATAAGAGAATATGAAGAAGAATTTTTTCAGAATTCAAAACTCTTAAAGTAGGTATATGGTTTAAATATTTAAAGATTTTGTAGTGTGGGAGTAGCTTACACTGTTTTTATTTAAAAGTTTGTTTTATAGCTGTTAGTTTAACATTGAGTTTCCAGAGTTTTTCCCAAATAGTGATCTGTATCTAATAGCCAAGTCCTCAACTAGTCAGAATTAGGGACAGCTTATCCTATGATACAGTACATGCTGGTATAATAAACTGCCTCTGAAAGACAACACGGACACCTCTTTAGTTGTTTTACTTATAAATAAGTATTTATAGTATTTATAGTATGCCCTAAGTGCTGATATTTAAAAATCAGCACTTAGGGCAGCCCGGGTGGCTCAGCGGTTTAGCGCCGCCTTCAGCCCAGGGCGTGATCCTGGAGACCCGGGATCGAGTCCCACATCAGGCTCCCTGCATGGAGCCTGCTTCTCCCTCTGCCTGTGTCTCTGCCTCTCTCTCTCTCTCTCTTTCTCTCTCTCTCTCTCTCTCTGTGTCTCTCATGAATAAATAAATTTAAAAAAAATTTTTAAAAATAAAAATCAGCACTTATATTTTTACTTATTTATCTTTTAAAGGAACCAATCCTTCTGGTGTTTTATGTTTATTATTATTATTATTATTATTTTTAAATATTTATTCATGAGAGACACAGAGAGAGAGGCAGAGACACAGGCAGAGGGAGAAGCAGGCTCCATGCAGGGAGCCCGACGTGGGACTCAATACCGGGACCCCGGGGTCACGCCCTGAGTTGAAGGCAGGTGCTAAACCGCTGAGCCACCCGGGCTGCCCTATTATTATTTTTAAGTAAACTCTACCTCTGACGTGGGTCTCAAAACTCAGAACAAGAGGCGCATGTCCTACCACAGCGAGCGCCTGAGTGGTTCAGTCGATTAGGCATCTGGCTCTTGATTTTGGCTCAGGTCATGATCTCAGAGTCATGAGATCCCAGTCCCATGTTGGGCTCTGCACTTAGCAGGGAATCCCCTTGAGATTCTGTCTCTCTCTCTCCCTCTCCCTGTGCCCCAGCCACCACTCACACCCTTCCTCCCTCCCTCTCTCTCAAATAAGTTAAAAAAAAAATCTTTCTTTACTTTTTAAGATTTTATTTATTTACTTATTTGATAGAGAGCAAGTGAGAAGGGGGAGAGGCAGACTCTGCACTGAGTGCAGAGCCCTACATGGGGCTCGATCTCATGACCCCAAGATCATGACATGAGCTGAAACCAAGAGTCAGATGGTTAACAAGCTGAGCCACCTAGGTACTCCTAAATAAATAAAATCTTCTAAAAAAAAAAAAGGACTTGCATGTTCTACCAACTGAGCCAGCCAGGTGCCCCCAACAGTTGGATTTTGTGTAAATGTATTCCGTTCTCTTTCAGTATTGGAGAAAGTTGAAGTCAGGGGTGGGATGTCAGAGGGGGACCCTACATAGATATTGATAGAAATTCATGAAAATAAGATCCTGACAAAAAAAAGCAAGAAAGAAGAACTAAAGGACAACTGAATTATATTAAAACCTTATATATGGAATCTCTTAAAATGGCAAAGTGTGTTTGTGTCTGTATTGGTATAGTAAATCAAGATAGTTCTTGCAGACATGGTCTTGAGTGTTACCTGTAGGGACCGGAGCCAGCAAGTGTATGGCACCTAGCTGTCCAGCATGAATAGGCACTAGCCTCGGGTTACTTAAATTTGAATTAGTTAACTTTAAAGAAAGGAAAACTTCTGTTCCTCAGTCACACTAGCCATACCTTCCAAGGGCTCAATTACCCCATGGGGCTCGTAGCTTCCATTTTGGCTAGCTCAGTTAGAGGACATTTTCTGCATCACAGAACATTCATTCAGCAGTGCTGGTATAAGATGTGAGGGTGGCTGTTCTCATTATATTATAACAAGCACATTTTCAGACATGATAGTAATGTTGTCCTTTTTGCCATTTTTATGTACTGTAGCTCTTGTTATTTTTTATTAGGACAAGCATGCTAAAGGCACACCAAGTGACCACAAGAAATTTAAGCCTTGCTGTTTCAGACTGCTTTTGGAAAATGGTACGAGAGTCAGTTGAGCAACAGGCTGATAGTTTCAAAGGTAAGTTGGCTTTTGAAAATGAACTAACAACTTCAGACATTTTATTAGATGGCAGTCTTGGGTATCCAGCAGATTCTTTATTCCCTGAGTAGTTGCGTATTAGTTCATTTTCTATTAGATAGTATGTGGAAAGTGGAAAAAATACAAATTTTCACTTGTTAAGAACACTTATTCCTTCAGGGGAAACATCACAAGGAGCACTTTGCAGAGTTGAAACCGAGTAGAAGGTTGGCAGTACTGTTTGGGAGAAAGCTTAGTGAACTACAGAGGACTCAGATTCCCCGTTTTTAGGGGTGCGAGGGTGCGAATGGCCTTGGGAGGCAGAGCGGCCTGTGCTTCAGCTGTGTTGTACTAGTTCCTGAGTCCCACGCTTTCCTGCTCTGTGGCTTTGTTGCCGTAGTTTCATTTGATGAGAGTATCCTTTCCCTCCCCTTTCCCACTTGGCAAGGACCCCCACAGGGTCCCTTCGCAACCCTATGAGTATTGTTGTGTTCCCATTCCACAGAAGAGAAACTGGGGCAACAGTAACTTACCCAAGGGGTGCCCCCAGCATCCTACACAATAGGTAATAGACCCAGGATTTGAATCGTGACGATGTGATTCCAGAGTCCGTGCCGTTAGCGGCTATCCTAAGCTGTGTCAGCTCTGTTTTGTGGATTGAAGATGGAGAAACTAAAGTCCAGAAGATTGGTTTGGAAAACTGTCTCAGTGGTGAGACTCTGAGTTGTGGAGAGCCAGAACACCCAGGAACCATAGGTGTACACTCAGAAGTTCAGTTAGTACAGACGTGTGTGAGATCAGCTTTAACTACTGCAGGTGGAAAGAAAGTCCTGAAACTGGAACATCTTTCCTTCTTCCTCAGCAACACGTTTTAACCTTGAAACTGAGTGGAAGAATAACTATCCTCGCCTGCGAGAACTCGACCGGGTAATACAGATGTCTTATTTAACATCGTGTTCTAACAGAATTTGTGTTGATGAGCAAAACCTGGTCAGCCAAACTGCTTTGGTTTTGACCTTAAGATTACTAATTTAGAGCTGCCAGGATGCAGTTCTCTGTTTAACTGCAGGAGTGCAGTTACCTCTTCTATAGTAGTTTAGATTATTTAGTACATAATATTAAAAAGTAATTAAAAATCGTAAGATTCTAAAGCAAGTGTAAAATGTTTTCTGAAAAAGTGAGGAACATTTCTTTAAAAGGTCTTATAGAATTAATATGTGAAGTAAACTTTTTAAAAATTACATACCAATTTTTTTTACCTTTTCAACATTTACTGTGGAGAAATATATTCTACTTTAGTGGGACTTCAGTCTTGGTTTCCCTTGATATTAAAATGCCATCCATTGTAAAGGAGCATCAATTTACTGACGCTAATAGACTAAATTAATAGGCGTTGATATTTTCATATAACATTTGTTACGTGAAAAACTTCCCTGATGAAATAAATGTTACATGAAAAACTGCACTCAGAATTAAATGAATAAGGTAGACACCCATGTCCATGTCTTTGTCCTTATATGGCCACTGGTATTTGTAAAAAAGAGGGTAGGAGGGAACATTATTTGCTAGTCATGCGTGTTCAGATGTAAGCTCAGCCTACCAGCCTGTCAGAGGCCTTTTTTTTAGTGGTCTCTGAAACTCATGGCAGGGCAGATTGACAATCTTATGAAAATCTTACTTACTTATATCTGTATTACCTAGAACGAACTATTTGAAAAAGCTAAAAATGAAATCCTCGATGAAGTTATCAGTCTGAGCCAGGTTACACCAAAACATTGGTGAGTATTTGATCTTTTCTCAAAGATTTTACTATATGGATTATAATGAAATACTAAAATTTAGATTCATAAAGCAGTGATTTATTATAGCCTTGGCTTATCCCCTCAAACAGTAAATAGGCAATAGCATAAAAGTATGTCTTTTTGCAAAATCTAACCACTATTGTAGTCTAATTATTTAAGTGCGATAAATTATGTATCTATTAAGTATCTTTCAGAAGAGGTATTCTAAAAAATTACTTTCTCCATGGTCCTTTTTTTTTTTAAAGAGATTTTATTTATTTACTCATGAGAGACAAAGAGAGAGAGAGAGAGAGAGAGAGGCAGAGACACAGGCAGAGGGAGAAGTAGGCTCCATGCAGGGAGCCGGACACCCGACGTGGGACTTGATCCCTGTTCTCCAGGATCAGGCCCTGGGCTGAAGGCGGCGCTAAACCACTGAGCTACCCAAGCTGCCCAGAGTGGCCAGTCCTTTTTTTTTTTTTTTTTTTTAAATTGGAGTTCAATTTGCATAACATATAGCATAACACCCAGTGCTCATCCCATCAAGTGCCTCCCTCAGTGCCCGTCACCCAGTCACCCCCACCCACCTCCCCTTCCACCACCCCTAGTTCGATTCCCAGAGTTAGGAGTCTCTAATGTTCTGTCTCCCTCTGATATTTCACACTCATTTTCTCTCCTTTCTTCTTTATTCCCTTTCACTATTTTTTATATTCCCCAAATGAATGAGACCATATAATGTTTGTCCTTCTCCGATTGACTCATTTCACTCAGCATAATACCCTCCAGTTCCATCCACGTTGAAGCAAATGGTGGGTATTCGTCGTTTCTAATGGCTGAGGAATATTCCATTGTATACATAAACCACATCTTCTTTATCCATCATCTTTCGATGGACACCGAGGCTCCTTCCACAGTTTGGCTATTGTGGACATGGCTGCTAGAAACATCGGGGTGCAGGTGTCCCGGCGTTTCACTGCATCTGTATCTTTGGGGTAAATCTCTAACAGTGCAATTGCTGGGTCATAGGGCAGGTCTATTTTTAACTCTTTGAGGAACCTCCACACAGTTTCCCAGAGTGGCTGCACCAGTTCACATTCAGAGTGGCCAGTCCTTAAGTTTGAATTCAGTATTAGTAGTTTCCCCACCTCCGTGTCCTGGATGATGACCCCTTTTCTCTCTTCAAAGATTCAAATTTGCCTATTTTTAATCTCCTCTCCTTATCTTAAAAAGGGTTCTGATCTTATCTCTACTTGTTGATTGATTAATCAGATATATACAACCCAGCTTATCTTTGTTATTATTTGTATTTTAAGCCAGTTCTATGGCTTTCTGTAAGCCAATTAGCTTTTGAAAGTGCAAGAAATACTGTGTATACACACACACACACCCCTGTTGGCATGCAGACACACACACAGTGAATACTACTTGTCATAGTAGGTTGTATGAGGATAATGTACATGAAAAGTGATTTGTAAACTGTTATAACTAATTATGCTGCTTATGGGAGAAAAATATGGTGCCTCTGTAAATTCCTGGTATCGTCAAATGAAATGGTTAGTTTTGTTTGGGCAGAGCAGTCTGAAATCAAAGTATACCTGAACTAAGGTGAGCAATGAAGATAGATGTCATTTATTTAACATGCAGGTGTCTGAAGGAAATTGTGAAGGGATGAGAAGCCTGTATTTCCAGGTTGTCTATTGAGAAGGCAAGGGAGGAAAGTAGGACGTCTGGCTGCGAGAGAATTATTCTGTGACCTGCTGGATCAGATGATTCTGTATATTTTCATCAGCTTTCTATCTTTGTTTTTTTTTTTTTTTTTTTTAAGACTCTATCGCTTAACACAAACATAGATCAAAATAGCAGATCCTAAAAAAAAAAAAAAAAAAAGCAGATCCTAATTGTAACAGTTCATGCCACACTGAATTGAACTGCATTGTACTCATAGTCATTATTGTCTGACGTATTTTTTTGTTGCATATGCCTTATGTGATATTTTAGGATGCATGACTAAGATGTTAATTATTTAATTGCCAGGACTATTTGATCTACATTGGTGATCTGGAAGCAGTGTTACAAGTACTTTATGTTCTTTATGTGATAGTTTATTATTTACTTACAGACCTTCTACTCTACTGTAACTATATTCTTAAAAGGTTGTTGGGGGGTTATATTTTACATGATGCATTATAGACAGAAATTAGCTCTCAGCGTCTTCACACAACATACCTGATCATCAGAAACTGATTACTGACATCAAGCAGGAGATGTTGATACACCGTTAACATTATGGGACCATTATTATAGATTTATCTATTTTTCATGTCATTTAGTAGAAGTCCACTTTAAAAAAATGGTATGATGGTACGCATATAACTTTTGGTTAAAAGTATTAAGTTTATTTTGTTGAAAGAATGAAAGGAAAATGTGTAGGCACAGTTGAGTCCCCTAACTCAGAGTTGAGGAATTAAAAAGGTTTCTGATACCAGAATCGTAGATTTAAAGGATAAAAAGTGCTAGGTAAAGGCAGTGACAAGAAAATTGCAGAGCCGGGGAGGTGACCCAGGTGGCTGAAGGCTGTTACCTCTGGCTTTAGCATACGCGGCAAGAGGCAGGAGATTAAACAGTAGATAAAAACAAGATAGAGATTATCAAGGGCCATACAAGCCGTGTTCAGAAGCTTGGGATTTATCCCATGAGCACTGAGGGCCACTGAATAACTTTAGGGCAGATTTTCATTTTAGAAAGATCCGTAGTAGGGAAAGTGGTAGGCTGTGAAGAAGGGGGCAGTGAGCAAAGAGGCAGTTGGCTGTTGGAGTTATGTAGATGAGAGGTGATGGCGGCTTGAGCTTGAAGAGTGCTTGGGAGTCTCTTCTTGAAGAAGAGACAATTTTGAAATATCTGAGAAGTTACCTAGAAGACAGAATTGAGAGGGTTTAGTGATTGGATGTATAGGTATAGAGAAGTCAGTTAAACAGTGAGTACATTTTTATCTGGTAATTACATTGCTGTGAATTTATAGGAATGAAGATATATTTGACAAAGATGAACACATAAGAATCTTTACCGTTGTTTTCTGTATAAGTATAAAAAATTCTAAAATTTATGTTTTCTATTTGGAATTAACATACTTGATTTATTCACAGAGCGGATTACTGTGGTGCCATTCACAAATATAGGATGTTGACATGGAAAACTGTACAAGTATTATAAAGCAGTCTGTGATATCCATTTATGTAAACACAAATACTTATACAAGCATTAAATATTTTTATTGATAAATCAAGCTGTGAATAATGATTGTACTACTGAAAGGAATTATGGAGGACTTCTTGCTTTTTCTGTATTGACTTAAGTTATTGTAAAGACTAAGTCATCTGCTTTAAAACAAATTTCCATTTTGAAAAGTGTTTTCATTTAAATGGAGCAAATGGAGGTAAAGGTCCTGGAGATAATAAGGGGAATGAGTAGAACTGTAATGTTAATTGTAATTTGTGTATTTGTGGAATCTTCCCTGGATGATGGTAGAATTTAGAATAGAGAGGTCTACAGTCCCATGACATATACTAGAAAACGTAAATAAGAGTGCAAGTCAGGGTGGCCGACCGCGTAAGCACGTGTTCTGGCCTCGCGGCTCCGGAGTTTTTGCGGGGCAGTTGAGGACTCCTGGTCCAGCCCGGAAGAGTGTAGGGTGAGGAGCACATGGCTTCCACTTCCCAACTTTGAGCACCTCTGGTCAGAATGTGAGGACAACCACCCCCTGGAAGGGAGAGCCAGGAAAGGTTTGAGGATGTGAGAATGTAAAGTGGTTGGTGTTGGTCTGTTCCGGAGCCGAGTATTGGGGGCGTAATGAACGTGATTGTGACGAAGGGGAGCAGGGAGCATGGACAGAGGACAGCAGCTGGGCGGTGGAAGGGCAGGTGCGGGAAGGTGGGTGAGGATGGGTGACAGCAGCTACCTGGGGTGGACTGGACCTCAGGCTTGTCAGGACTCGGTGGTCTGGGATTTTGTTATTACCTCCTTGAAGAGGTGTCTGGGATGTCGATTCCTGGCCCACAGGCTCCAAGGAAGAGACAACAGACCGAGTCTGTTCTGAGGTGGGAGCAGCAACAAGCCCTGGTGGTCAGAGGCTGGATCCTGGCCCTTTGTCCATCTTCAGAAATCTTGGATTTGTAAAATTATATCTGAATAGGAGGGCCCTGAGCAGCTTCTTTCCTTCCAGCTTGCTCCTAAAATTCTCCCCCGTCCTTATCTGTCATGAACACTGTGACTAAATGAACTTTGTCCTTCTGGTGCCCCAGGGCGTACGTACCCTTTCCTCACGCTCTTTGGTGTTCTGGTTGTCACTGAAAAAGACCCAAAAGTTAGCAAGGGGCAGCCACAACCAAGCCCATTGACTCGGTAGACTTGATTTTACACAAGATGTTGAGTGACTATTAGGAGCTTTGGATAGGAGGAAGTGTTGACACTCCTCAACCGAGAAAACCTTTGGCCAGCAGGGATGTTTGTTTCTGCTGCCCTGAGCTTAGTGGCTGTGTAGTAGGGGTTGGGGCTACTCTTAAGACCGACTACTTTTGGTAAGCAGAATGTTTTTGTATGTTGTAGTATTATTTTACAGTAGAAATTAGTTTGGGAGAAGCCAAATAAATATTTTAAGAGTTCAGTTTTTTTTTCTTGATTGAAATAGTTGTCTTTTTCTTGTTTAGAGATCTGTGTTCTTGTAAGGTGCCTTCACGGCAGGTTTCTCAACTTGATTATCCATCTTTTATATTGTTAACCTTTATTTGTCATGGTGTGTTAGACCGTTTTACTTAGCAATATTTCATAGCATGTCTGTGCTCTGTGTTGTGATCTGATAAATTGTTAAAAATCATACCAAGAAGTTCTCAGACTGGACTCCACAGTCAATACATAGAAAGTATGTATTAATATTAAGCAAATAAGCACAGGAGAAGACGCTTAAGAGTATGGGTCATTAAGGAAATGCAAATGAAAGCCACAGTGAGATACCACCGTCAGCCCGGCAAAATGATTAACCATATCAAGTGTTGGCAAGACGTGGGGCATCTAGAGCCCTCATCCTGTGCCCCTGGGAATGTAGAATAGTTCAGCCAGTTTGAGAAACAGTTCGGCTGTATCATAAAAAGTTATATATATAATTGCCATATGATGTAGGTATTCCAATTCTAGACATGTCACCCAAGAGGAGCAGCAGTGTGTGTCCATACAGACACACACGTGAATGCTCATAGCTGCTTTGTCTGGAACAGCCGATAATGGGAAGCCACCCAGATGTTCACTAGCAGCTAAATAGATAAACACATTCAAGTAGCGGAGTACTGCTCGGCAATAAAAAGAAGTGAAACGCTGATATACTCAACGATATGGATGAATCTCAAAATCTGCTCAGTGAAAGAAGGCAGACAAAATAAGAGTATGCTGTTCGGTTGCATTTATTTACAGTTCTAGAAAATATAAGCTGATCTCTAGTAACAGAAAGCAGATCCAGGGATCCCTGGGTGGCGCAGCGGTTTGGCGCCTGCCTTTGGTCCAGGGCGTGATCCTGGAGACCCGGGATCGAATCCCATGTCGGGCTCCCGGTGCATGGAGTCTGCTTCTCCCTCTGCCTGTATCTCTGCCTCTCTCTCTCTCTCTCTCTCTCTCTGTGACTATCATAAATTAAAAAAATAAAAATTAAAAAAAAAAAAAAAGCAGATCCAGTGGCTAGAACTTTTGGCCGTTATCTTGATTGTGGTTATGCACCACTGTGCTCATATGTCAGAACTTTAAATACGTGCAAATTATTGGAGTGAATGATACTTGGATAAAGCAGTTTTTAAAGCCAATATTAGGGATCCCTGGGTGGCGCAGCGGTTTGGCGCCCGCCTTTGGCCCAGGGCGCGATCCTGGAGACCCGGGATCGAATCCCATGTCGGGCTTCCGGTGCATGGAGCCTGCTTCTCCCTCTGCCTGTGTCTCTGCCTCTCTCTCTCTCTCTCTCACTCTCTCTCTGTGACTATCATAAATAAATAAATTTCAAAAAAAATTAAAAAAAATAAAGCCAATATTATATTTAAATTTCGTGTTCTTGAAACTTTTTTTTTCTTTTTTAATTTCAGGGAGGAAATCCTTCAGCAGTCCTTGTGGGAAAGAGTATCAACTCATGTGATTGAAAACATATATCTTCCAGCTGCACAGACCATGAATTCAGGGACTTTCAATACAACAGTGGATATCAAGCTTAAACAGTGGACTGATAAACAGCTTCCTAATAAAGCAGTAGAGGTTAGGATATAATTTAATTGAATGGGTAAGAAGCATTATGTGAAGGGAGTAGGAGCTGTGAATTTTAGGTTTTATTCTCATCACAGCCTACTGTCTCTTCTTAGGGCCATTATGCTCCGTTTATTCTTTACTCCTCATCTCTGTGTTGGGTTAACCTTAATGCTATTACCAGTTGCTGCCATCATAAAAATTTACTATTTGGTATGATGTTGATCTGAGGGTATTGGTTCTGTTTCAGAAATAGCATGTAACAAAACCGGCAACGTTTGCTTGAATGCGAAATTCTTAAAAAAAATTTTCTGTGGATAACAATTCCACAGAATATGGAAATAACAATATTTCGCTTAAAATGACAATATTTTAAGGAAAATATTTAATGAATAAAACATTTCATTTGTTGAGTTTCTGCAGGGTTCATTTATATGTAAATAATCATTTTCTTAGGATCCTGCCAGCAGGTTAGACGAGGAATTCTAGGAGAGTACCTTGAAGAATGCTTTTCTGTTACACACTGGCTGTGCCACTTGGTAGCTGTGCGATCCTTGGACTCCTGCTTACTCTGTTTATTTGTCTGTACATTAGGGAGGATAGTGTTGCCTACCTCACAGATTGTTATGAGGAGGAAGTGAACATCTAAATGTGTATGATACGTCCCGGGCCCATGGTACTGCAGTAAGCGCCAGCTGCTTTACTGTGATGATGACCATCAGGGTTGATCAGCCATGCGTGTTACTCTGAAGAATGATTGTTCTAGCAAAGGCTCAGCGTGTCCTGTGCTTCTGCGTGAGGTTGCTCACAAAATTAGAATCAGTGTTAAAGATAATCTTATTTTTCATTACCTTAAAAAGAAAATGTCAACTTTTAATTCTTTGGGTGTGGTTCCCCCTTTCCTGTCCTAATGCACTCCTGGCTTCTTCACCCCTTTGCTCAGTGTCTTCCTGCTTCTCTTTCAAAGAACTGACAGCTGTTGTGCCGAAGCTGCATATTGCTGAGCCCTGTCAGTTCTCTCCACGTTTACCCCTAAAATAACTGAGGGCTTACTGCCACCACCCCATCAGCTCCCCTCACAACTGTCCCTGGCGTCTGTCTGGGCCCTGTCCCATGGGTATTGTCACATCCTGAGGCTCAGCAGTGGAAGTGGCCATTCTTTCTCCTGCTGCTTTTCCCTGCATGCCTGGGTGTGGCAGAAAGATGTGGATCTGCTCAAGGTCAGGAAACAGGTGCTGATACCTCACTGGGTAGTCTAGGACAGTCACGTGGTTTATGCCATGATTTCTTAATGTTTGAAATGAAGAGGGCTGAGTAAAAAATACAGCATTAACTAGCCCACTGAACCATAAGAAGGTTTAGTTCTTCGTTACTTTTGACACTGTGTTCTTCCTTTCACTGCCCAAGTAATCGGGAGTTAGCTATAATGTAGTTGAATGTTTCTCGGCTGTGATTGAAGGTATTGATGCTTTGCTTCATATATTTACACAAGGGCAGAGATGTGAAGAAGTCACTGTGAAATCTTAAACTTTCTACAGTGTGGACGAAGCAGGCAGACTCCCACGTACAAAATGAAATAAGTGAACTAAGTCTGGTGGCTGACTGGAGTGCAAACCTGTCTCAAGGGGGTGGCTCCTGCTTGTCTCCGGTTAGTGTCCTGTAGGAGTGCAGGTGCAGTGCCGCCAGATAGTTGGAGAGGCTGGAAACACAGATTTTATATGAAGGTTATTTATAATGCTGGCTACTAATTTCTTAAAATTTAAAATACTTTATTTTGTCTAGCAAGACATATCAGGGTGCCACACCTACCCCGCCAGCTGCCAGTGTGAGATCTCTAGGCCAGAGTTTGTATTTGCTGCCTTTAAGAAAAAAAAAAAAAAAAACCTTGTGGTTTCATATATATTTTGTGATAAGTTAGTTGATTTATTACATCTACTTGGCTTAAATTCAGGTGTTTGTCAGGCTACATATTAAAGTTGTATTATAAATATGGCTTTTTCTTTTAAATCTAGGTTGCTTGGGAGACCCTACAGGAAGAATTTTCTCGCTTTATGACAGAACCAAAAGGGAAAGAACATGATGACATATTTGATAAACTTAAAGAGGCTGTTAAAGAAGAAAGTATTAAACGCCACAAGTGGAATGATTTTGCGGAGGACAGCTTGGTACGTCATTTGTATATTATGGTGTCAGCCTTATGGCTTTATATATTTTCTCAAATCGATACTCTTTAGAGGAAGTTGTCTTTATATGACCATTTCAATTAGCTTCTGAATTTAAGATAATGAGGGAAAGACATCTTTATCTGTATATAATCAGCCCTTTAACATTTCTCTGCTATTTCTTTTGTGGCTGTCATTTCAGAGAAAAGTCAAACTTCACAGTAAACGGGCTACTGTAAACTTCCTCAAATTGTCCACTCGCCAATACATGGGCCTGAACCGCAGATGGCTCAGATAGCGGCTTCTTATTTTACTCTTGGTGGTAATGAAAGGAATTAGATGCATTGGTTTTCTGTGGATTTGAGTCATAAAATATTAGACTCCTAAAATAATGCTAACTACCACATGTTGAATGCTTAAAAGGTGCTAGAAACTCTACAATATATGTTGTAAGCACTATTTTACTTAGTTCTTAAGCAGTCCTATTATTGTCCTTCTCAAAGCCCTAACACAAGCCCTGCTCTAGTTACAAAGCCCCAGCTCTTGACCTTCACCAAATCCTCCACCTCCAACAGATCTTTTGTTATGGAGAATGTTCTCATCACCATAATCAAACCTGTGTTAGCACCTGCTCTGCTCAGACACTTCAGAGGAGGCACTGTTGAAAGATAAGATGCAACAATTTTATAGAAAAATGCTTATTTCACTGTGGGCTGGTTGTAATTTATTTATTTATTCTGTAATTTATTTTTAAACAAATACTTGTCTTCATGTTTGAAAACAATATTCATTCTTGTTACATACCTTAATAAGATTAGCTTCTTATGAGAATAGTGTCCTTTTTCCTTCTTCTTTTTTTTTTTTTTTTTTTGAAGACTTTATTTATTAGGGAGTGAAGGAGAGAGCACGAATAGAGGGAGGGGCAGAAGGAGGGGAAGAAGTAGACTCCCCGCTGAGCAGGGAGCCCAATGAGGGGTCTTGATCCCAGCACCCTGGGATTATGACCTGAGCCAAAGGCAGATGCTTAACTGACTGAGCCACCTAGGTGCCTCAGTAGTGTCCTTTTTCATTCATTTGTTCAAAGGTTATAAAATTTAGAAATCAATTTTCTTATATAACTCATATTGGCTTATGGCCTAGACATTTTAAGCTTCCCTCCTTTACACTTTTCATTGATGTTAACAGTGAGACAGTGGTTGTTTTTCTCCTCTTTTTTTGAAAATGCTAACACAGACAATATGGCAAAAAGGAAAAGTAGTGATCTGAATCATTAACTTCTGAGAACTAGTGTCTTGGGTGCAGATTTATATGTGGCTGCATGTATAATATGCCTCTCTCTGTCTTAGACATAGCCTATTTTATTTGAGATAGGAAAAAATCTTCACTGTTCATTCTTTTGAAAGAAAGGTGACCAATAGGCAGATAATAGGACCTCCTGCACTTGCGTGGGAGGGACATACTTTTATCTTGTTTCAGGTACATCTATTATTTTGTATATTTGATAAGCTGTCAATTTGAATAAAATTACTAAAATGATAAGGCATAAATCAAATTAGCGGTTTTTCTTTCCTTGTTATTTCAGAGGGTTATTCAACACAATGCTTTAGAAGACCGCTCCATATCTGATAAACAGCAGTGGGATGCAGCTATATATTTTATGGAAGAAGCTCTTCAGGCTCGTCTCAAGGATAGTAAGTAGGGACACAGGTTGTTGAGTTTTGAGTATTCCCAGTGGTGGAGGAGTTATCCAACTTGATAATTGGGGAAAAAATGTTTTTTAAAAAATAAATAAAACTAATATTTCATAGTCTTTGTCATTAATACCATAGTTAAATATTTTTTGTGAAATTTTTCGGTCAACTGCTTAGTGACAACTGAAAATATTAAAATAGACACATGTTTATATGTACTCATTTTTAAAAACTATAATTGAATTGAAGACTGTACCTACAGGAACTTTACAAGCAATTATACCTTTCAGAGATTGTAAACATATATACTTAAGTTATTTCTTATATATGTACTGTATCAATCATGTATCGATCATGTAATCTTTTTGTTTATTTAACTGATTTTATATTGATCAAGCAGTTTGAAGTAATTAAGAAAATGACTATTAGTAGTTATAATTTTTGTGCTTGGTAAATGACAAAATTCTTGGTGAATTAAAACAATTTTTAAAAATTTTTCTAGCTGAAAACGCAATTGAAAACATGGTAGGTCCAGATTGGAAAAAGAGGTGGTTATACTGGAAGAACCGGACCCAGGAACAGGTAAAAACAAATCTCTGGTCTTATAGAATTTTGTTTGACTCAAGCATTAAAATGTAACTTTTGCATGCCTACAGACCAATCTTAATAATTTCAAATGTTTTACATCAGCCTTTTTAAAACGTAATGAATCTTTAGAATAAATAGAAAACTATAAAAGAAAGTTTGTTTTTTTTTAAAGTGAAGTAGCCGTGTTATTAAAAGGAAAGGGAAATGAACCATGCCCCTTCTGTGGTAGATTACTTTGTTCATTTCAATTCCTGGTTTGAGGTAAAGCGAATATTAAAGCTATGAACAAAAATTAAAAATGACAAGGATTTCAGAGGATGTAGAGGGAATATGATTAGAATAAAAGCTATAGCAACTTTTTCTTTCTTTTTTTTTTTATTTTTTTACTTCATCTGTTGTTACCTCTGGATTTTTGTGTTGTTGTCTGTTCAAATATTCTGTTCTTTTGCATTTTTTGCTGTTGTGTGCCCAAAATAGGTGTAAAAATTCAGACAGGAAGTAGAACTGTAGAATTTTTTTATTCAGTAAATATTTAATGAGCACGTCGGAAGAACAAAATGGTAAAGGCAAGTATAAGTAACTTGACCGATGAGTAAATAGAGGGAAGATGTACAGAACATTTAAGGCCCCACTTCCTACCATCTTTGTATTTCTTTTTTTTTAAAGATTTTATTTATTTATTCATGAGAGACACGCAGAGAGAGGCAGAAACCCAGGCAGAGGGAGAAGCAGGTTCCCCACAGGGAGCCTGATTAGGGACTCGATCCCAGGACCCCGGAGTCACGCCCTAAGCTGGAGGCAGATTCTCAACCCCTGAGCCACCCAGGTGTCCCCGATCTTTGTATTTCTTATTATGGCTTCTCTTCCTATCTAGGATTTAGTTTGACACCACATCTCATTCTTATGCTCATTCCTTAAACAAAAGAGTGAAAACGAGATACAGAACATAGATAAATGAAGGAAATAATACGAAAAAGAGGTGGCATCCATGCATTAAGTTTCATGCATTTTTTTGTCTCATAATCTATCAGATGTGAGTCCCAATTTGTCTAAAAAAGTGAAGGGACAGTCTCCCTCTTCTCTTTTTTCTAATAGGATTCTTGTGGAAAAATGAGTCACTAAGAGACTGCAGAGAGGCCAAGGAAGTGGATAGAGTTAGTGGTTGGATCATGCGTGTTTTCAGGGAGCATCGGTTATCTCTCTCTGCACATGGGCTGAGAGGACGAGGTCTGTCAAAGGGAATTTCTAGGAGATCCATCAGAGGTTTCTGATTTTAAGACTAAAAGACACATTGATTGAAAGGAACTGGGGTGAGGCAGAAGAAAAATGGTGTCTGACCATAAAGGCTTACGGGAAATTAAGGCCTAAAGTCTCCAGGATAATCAATGATGGCAACTCAGCAACTAGTGGCCAATACACTTGGTCTAAACACTGTCAGAGAGAAATAATTCTTAGTTGTAAGTTATTGTCTCAGGAATTTGAATCCAAAAGGAATCTCTGCAAGTAAAGTAGAGGAATTAATTTTAAGATTAGTGCAGGGATCCGTGGCCTAGGAGAGGAACATGGAAACGCTTCAGAGAAGAGCCTTCCCAGGGGTTCAGGGCAGCCAGCGTAAGACTCTGTGGAACAGAGGCCATCATTGGGCGTAAGGGGAGGGACCTCAGGACCACCTGGGGAACGGTTTGTGTGTGTTATGTGTCATTTTCTGTTTCAGAAGAAAGCCCTGCCAGTCAGACTCACTGAATCACGTTCTCTTTCTCTAACTTTTCTCATCCCTCCCACTCCCTGTTGAAAACCACTATTCTAAACCTCGTTCCTGGAGGTTATGGTGAGGAACAGATTCTGGAAGAGGTTGAGACTGTCCCCATGTCTCACGCTGCAAGTTTAGGTGGCTATGTAACAATTACTTCTGTCTTTTTGAATGACTGATTTAGTGGAAAAAGACATTTTAGGTCGTCCTATGTTAAAGATAAGTCTCTGTTCTGAATATTATTTTGTGCTTTTATGTTGTTACTTTTTCCTTAGTTTTCTAGGGAAAAATCCATCCCTTTGAAACATTCTCACCTTTCCTGAGCTGAACTGTGGTGATCTTGTTCAGGGTGGATGGGAGAGCAGTCTTCTCCTGAACGCTGTGTGGTCAGGGGGCAGGTGCACAGATGGAAGTGAAAACAGGACGAGAGTCGGGGAGTATCATCTAACTGGGAGATTTCCATCTTACTTCAGACCAAGAGCAGACCAAGGAAACTGTAAAATTTCTCTTCTAAATGTCGTGTTTTTAGAGAATATTAGTAGTTTCATTTATAAGCCAGTTATTTGCATTTATATTTTATTCTTCTGGAGTACTCGGATATCGTAGTTTGCTACAGTTTGGGGCAAAGTACTGTGCTAGTAGCTTGTTCAGAGTAATCAGTGCATTTGAAGTTAGACTTTTTTTTTTAAACATGCAATTTTGAAAGGATTGAAAAGAAAAGATAAACGTGATTTGACACTGCATAAGAATCGTATTTTTATATCTGTCACTACTATGTATCTTTTACTCCTTTGGTCATCAGACTGTGAACAGTTACAGAGAAGAGATTGGAAGTATACTCAAGAATGATAGCCACCTGGCTGGCTCAGTGGGTAGAGCGTGCTGCCCTTGATCTAAGGGCTGTAAGCTTGAGCCCCATGTTGGGTGTAGAGATTGCTTTAAAAATAAGACCTTAGGGGATCCCTGGGTGGCTCAGTCTGTTAAGCATCAGCTCAGCTCAGGTCATGACTCCTAGATACTGGGTCTCCTTGATCCATCTGGCTCCCTGGTGGGAAGCCTGGTTCTCCCTCTCTGTCTCTCCGCCCCTTCCCCCTGCTCATGCTCTTTCATGCTTTTTCTCCCTCAAATAAATAAATAAGATCTCTAAAAAAATAAAATAATCTTAAAGAGAGGGATGATAGACACCTTGCAGAAACAGTCTAAAGCGCAATTTTTAATGAAAAGAGTTTTTTTAAAAATCCAACTATGAATTTCATAGTTATCAAAAAAGACAGCAGGTGCAAGTCCTTACAGTCATCTAGTTCTTAGATACGAGGCATTTATAGAACATTATCTCTCCCCATGTTCAGGGTCCTTTTTCCTAGACTGACATCCCATCCTAAGGTCAAGAAGCTTACAGAGTAAGGAACCTGGTGAGGTAACTTTGACAATAAAACATTTCAGCAAAAGTGAAATATATAACAAATAAGGCTAAATTTCCTTTTTTTTTTTTTTTTTTTTTTGCCTTGCCTAAGTCCAACTTCTTCTGCCTTCATAATCCAGAATACACAATATTCTGTATTCATAAGCCAAGATACTATGTTCTTGTTTCCTATGTGGAGCTCGTGTTCCCTGTGGTGCATTAGCAATATATTTATTAAATCTAGGGCTCTGTTTTTATAAGCATTTGCCAAATCATGATCCATCTAAATCACAGTCCTCTTTTAAACAATTTAAAGTTTGTCCATAATGAAACCAAGAGTGAATTGGAGAAGATGCTGAAGTGTAACGAGGAGCACCCAGCCTATCTGGCGAGCGATGAGATAACTACAGTCCGAAAGAACCTTGAATCCCGAGGAGTAGAAGTGGACCCAAGCTTGGTAATACATACTGCTGATGATATGAACTTACTTCCTTAATCTCTGTTTCTTACGGTAAAATGTTACTACTTCTCACACGTTGCTTGGATATTTAAGTGCTTGATTTGACTTTGGTCATGTGTACTTTTGCTGACAAAAAACAGTCATTTTGACTGTAGAGAGTACAGATTTCTTGTTGGTATTTCTTTAAGTGTAATGCTTTATTTGTAAGTGAGGAGATTGAGACTTAGAAAAGTGAGGTATCTGGGCAAGGTCAGAAAGGAGCTCTGGCAAAAGGGGGTAAAGGCCCGCCACATCTCTGCATCACGCTATACTCCTTCAGATTGCAAAATACAAGTTCTTCTGTGATAAAATTCACTTATCTGTGTGTTTTCTCGGTCAGATGTACCTTATCAAGTATGAGTGGGTTTAGAAAAAATATGAACGTTAAGTTTTTATTAAATTGGATAGTGCCTTAGGGTTCTATCTCATTTTCCTCACTCAGAAAATATAAGAATAAAGATAATTACAGTTTAGACTGTTTTACATCATAATACTTTATGATACTTATATGGGAAATTAAAAAAAAAACAAACTTTCTGGGCTTGTGTGCCCCAGTTAGGGTATAAGGAATCGAAACTTCATTTTAACATTAGCTTAAGTTAACTTAAGTGAAACCCAATTAGAAAAATAATTCTAAGGGGAAAAATAATCATATAAGAAATTTCAGAACCACACATAAATTCTTTTAGAGATGATCTGTTTCTGCACCTGAGAAATGAGTACACTTAATGTGATTTCCACCAGAGGTCAGAACAAGAAAAGAAAGCGGGTAAAACTCAAAGCAGTTCAAGCTGTTACATCTAGCATTATTTATAAAAATTGAAAATGAAACTAAAACTAATGATACATGAAATTATTAGTTGAATGTAAGTTTAATTTATCCACATTTGGACTTTGCCCACATATTAGGATACGAATTGACTGTGTATTTTAATTACTTTTTCTCAGCAAGAAAATCTCAGGTTTTTTTCCAAGAGACATTTTGTTCAGTGTATTCTATGAAGCTATAAAGTAGTTAGCAAAACGTTATGGCAAGAATAGCAGATGGGCTACATGTCAGAGATGTGGATTCTAGCACAGTTTCATCCCATTCGTTAGTAATAATACCTTTAGTAACTAATACAATCTCTGAACGTTTCACTGTTTTCATCCGTCACACAGCATTGATGATATTTGCTATACCTGCTTGACTTTATTACTGTCATGCTCAGAAAAGGCAATGGTGTGAAAGAACCTTGAACACTCTAACAAACTACGTAGTAATGACATTGGGGGGTCATTTTGCTGTGGCAACAATGAAATGTAATAATCAAAAAGGAAATGTTGTATTGATGGACATGGTCTGAGACCAGCTTCCTAGTCCTAACTAACTCTGTCCTTCGATTAGGCTCACAACCTCTTTTCCTTGGGGCTCTTTACCTCTATCCAGGGGAGATGATAATCCCAACCCTACTACTCTGCAGAATGATTCTATGACTACAACAACAATCCTTGTTAAAAACATTGTATATTTGGAAGTACATAAACTGGTAAGGGGTCAGAGTAATGGTATATCTAGTCTTTGTCTTAAAAAAATTTTTTTTGAAATGGTTAAAAAAGGTTGGAACAATAATAAAATCACCATTAGTTTTAATTATGTTTTTTATAAGTAACTTCTGTAGCTGACCTTTCAGGATATGTTGGTCAACCTGCAGAGTATCCAGAAACTCTGGTTTTTGTTTTCTTTTTTCATTTTAGATTAAGGATACTTGGCACCAAGTTTATAGAAGACACTTCTTAAAAACAGCTCTAAACCATTGTAACCTTTGTCGAAGAGGCTTTTACTACTACCAAAGGCATTTTGTAGATTCTGAGGTAAGGTGTCCAAAAACAAAGGGAAATGCTTTTAGTGATTGTTGTTTAGATGCTTAAAAGTAAAAAGTAGCTTTAGCATTAGTTTTAAGTCCTTTGATCTACTGGGAAAAGCATATGTGGGTTATGAAGAATACCCTAACTCTTATCTTTTCTGAGGTATTTACCAGTTTATATTTTACACACTAAAAGATTGTGTATGCAGATAATAGGCATTAAACCACTTTTTAATTTTTTTTTAAGAATTAGCTTTTTATATTAGAAAATAATATGTTCTCGTGGAAATGCAATAAAAAAATGTAAAAAAATTTTGAAAAGGACATAGCCAGTTATTTTAATATTCCTTATTAATGAATAAGTCACTTATAATCCCCTGACCTAGGAGTAATTTTAATTAATATTTTATGTGTATCTTCAACTCTTTCTATACACTGTCTTCTATCTGCACGTGTATGACAATAACAATCCATTTGGGTAGTGGAAATCCTACTGTAAAAACAATTTTTTGTTGTGCTTTTTCCTGTATATTGTAATTCTTTCTTTATATCATTAAAATCTCTGCTTACTTAAAAGAAGTATATAAAGTTGTACATTGTTTAATGCCACGTTTCACAGAGTAACCCCTAGGTGGCAGCAGACTGATTGTGTTTTGAGCATTTTCTTACAAGCAGAAACGCTTTTTTAGAGTATCATTCTGAAAGAGCTATTCAGTAGTGATCTTATTTGAGACCTGTCAAATGCTTTTGAGTTTTCTACAGCTTAAAATAAATTTTTATTTAAATATACTTATGTAAAAAGTGGCAAGTTTTTGCCTAATTGTTGAAAAGACCTCTTTACAGAATAAGCTTCTTTTAAAACATATCATTAATTTATTTTTTTTTATAGCTGCATTACAAGACTGCCTTGAGTGCACAAAGAAAAGAGATTAACCTAAGGGTGTATTTAAGCTAACATGGTTGTTAACTGAAACTAAATAAAAATTAAGGTTATATCCTGTGATTTTCTGCTTGTATATAAATCATGAAATTCTTTACTTCCCAAATTGATTTGCTTTGTCATTGGAATCAAAACAAACCTCTATAGGTGAGGGGCAGTTTGAAGCCAAATCATGCAGAAGTTCATTGACCTGCAGAAAAGATTCAGTGGCTTATATCTTCAGTAGGAATGTATAGGGGCACCTGGGTGACTCAGTCGGTTAAGCATTTGCCTTCGGCTCAGGTCCCAGTGTCCTAGGGTTGAGCCTTGCGTCGGGCTCCCTGCTTAGATTCTCCCTCCACCCCTGTCATTCCCTCCACTTGTGTTCTCTGGCTCTCTCTGTCAAATAAATAAATAAAATCTTAAAAAAAAAAAAAAAGGAATATATGTATTAGGTAAAAAAAAAAATAAAAGGAATACATGTATTACTTAGGTCTGAGATTTTTAAAGTTTAGGGTATAGATAATAGCCCAATTTAGTAGTTGTGTGTGTTTATGGTCGTAGTTTTCACTTTTAAATTTGCATCTGTAATCTTCATTTCCTAAATTTCAGTTGGAATGCAATGATGTCGTCTTGTTTTGGCGAATACAGCGCATGCTTGCTATCACTGCAAATACTTTAAGGCAGCAACTTACAAACACTGAAGGTAAGCCACGGAGGTATCACTTTCTAATTCTAACATCAAAAAAATAGCAGTAGCATTCATTTTTAATAGACAGATATCAAAGTGATTCTTTAAAAATAGATTCACTGGGGGCACCTAAGATGGCTCGGTTGATTAAGCCTCTAACTCTTGGTTTCAGCTCAGGTTATGATCTGAGTTTTGAGGTTTTGCCCCGTGTTGGCAGGGATTCTACCTGAGATTTTCTCCTTCCCTTTACTTCTGTCCCACCCTCCACGCACATGCATGCGTGCGCGCTCTCTCTTTCTCTCTCTTGCAAATAATACATTTAAATGAAAATAAATTTGTTAGAAAAATTGAAAATTATCATCTGCCCATAAAATAGTAATGAAAGTAAATCATAATTGGAAAAGATGGGAGATAAAACATACCAGGAGTCTCCCTTCATTACACAAAAACTGTTAGAAAAGGACTGCTAAGCATCACTTAAGTTTTTTGGGGGAAAATCTGCACTTTTTTAAAGTGTTAGGACTTGAGAATATGAGTTTCTCTGAGAATATTAGATTCATGTTGGACAAAAGTACTATATAACAGGTAGAGATTCTCCCTATAGCTGTGAGAAATCTGAACTCTGTAAGTCTGACATGAGAAAAATCCAAACTTACTCTCCATGTATTGCTAATTTATCCTCCATATGCATTCATAATAACGATGATCCTCAAGTTTTTGTTTACTTTGAACAGTCAGGCGACTAGAGAAAAACGTGAAAGAGGTGTTGGAAGATTTTGCTGAAGACAGTGAAAAGAAGGTAAAACTGCTCACTGGCAAACGAGTTCAGCTGGCTGAAGACCTCAGTAAGTAGTTCTTCCCGCCCTCCGCCCCGTGCTGCCTTGTCTCTTTCCTCATTTCCATTATTCGTTCATCCATTTAATTGCAAACTATAGAAGTGTATACAAAGAACTTTCTTTCCATGAACTATTTGCAAGAAAGTTGCTGACCTGTCGCCCCATCACTTTCAAGTACTTTAAGGTGTATTTCTTAGAAGCAAGGATTTTTTTCCCTAGCAACCATCCGGATCAGGATGTTGACACTGATACATTGCTGCATCTAATTTTCAGACCCCATTCAAGTATCCTGTGTCGTCCTAGTATTGTCCTTTTGTGTAAGAAGATGTTCATGCTCAGCCTGTACTTTCCCTGATCCAGCTTCCTTTTTCTGGAGAATGGTATTTAGAAGTCAAGAGTAGGAAGCTAGATGTGCTGATTGTTACTGGACTATCACCGTTCACAGACTCTCTCAGTGTAAAGAGCTGGGGAACAGATCTTGCCTGCATTCAGGTCTCTGTGCGCGCGTGTATACGTGTGTGGATACATGTCCACACATTTATATCTCTGTTTCTAATCACAAGTATTTGTCTGTGTTGGAAGCCCTAAGTTAACAATGATACTTTCCATTATAATTTGGTAGCTCAGGGTTCATCCTAGTAGTCTCCTTTTTCTTTGAGGAGAGAGAAATCTGGCTCCCAGCTCTCCTTAATATATTTACTTACTTTGATCAGCCTTCCCGTATGTATGCAGACTTGTCACTGTCCCCTTCGTTGCACGAGCATCCCTTTTGCCCTGTGTTGACACCCCTTTTACCTCATGCAGGCTCAGATACCCCGTGCCATGTTACCCTTCTTCACAGACTCCTTTTCAGGGAGCTCATGCACTGGCACTGTGTAGTAGGCGGATCCCCTTTTATCCTTCCTGCCTCTTCCCCTGTGCCAGGACCTCCTGAAGCCAGGCCATGCTTTGGTAGTGGACTCCCTCTTCATCCTACATGTGCTCCAGAACTCTGCACCAGACTGGACTGCCCTGCTACACGGATACTCGCTCACTACTGGGCCACGCCACCAGCACCCCACGTGACACCCTCTTCAACCGGGTCAGGCGTTACGCCTACACTGGCCCATAGGGCTGTCCCTCCCATCACCCATCCCCTACCCCCAACCTAACTTGGCCTTACTGATCACTTGGTCTCTCTCTGGAGACGTTTGGTTCTTCCTGAATGCTGGTGTTCCTAGCTTTAAGGTATTTGAGTTGCATGTTAAGATTTACTTAGATCTTTGAGAACCCAAGGAAATCCCAGAAAGAGTAATGTTAAATAAGATTAAAAACACTGAGGTTGGTGCTTCGGTTTGAGCTTATTACCTCGTTTGTTACAAGCTTCCCCTCATTTAATTTTACCAAACAGTATTTTTCCTTTCAGCATATACTTAAACTTACCATCTTAGGAGTTTTCCGGTATGTAAGAGAAAGCAGATACGGAATAAGAAGAAGTTCCTCACATTTGAAAATCATTTCTAATCTGAAGTTAGGTCACTACAATATGCTCCCTAGAATATCCGAGAGAAACCAGTGGTTTTCCTGTCGAAACCCTGCCCCCACCCCCACCCCCGCCAGGCCTCAGCAGCGTGCTCCTCCACCACCGTCGCCTCCTCTGTTACCTCAGCTCGTCATTTGCTGTCCTTTCTGCCCTTTCTTCCCTTAATCTTTATTTTGAAATGTATATTATTTTAGTTCATTTTCTGTTTTCTGTTGCTCTTCTTTTTGTTTCTTCCATGCCACTTGATCAGAGTAAGTTTGTGCTAACTCGTAGACGATCTGTGTTTGTGCACTGCCGTTCACTAGCTGTGTTCCCTTAGGCACGTTATCTCTCAGAGCCTTAGCCTCTTTGTAAAAATGACTCCAATTAGTTATTATATTACTAGGAGGGGCTTTGGGAAAATAACTTCAAAAACCACTTGCAAGTCCCTGCCTCACAAGTTTATGCTTTGTTAGTGCTGTTCCAGGAAGAGGTGTGCCAGTGTCGTAAGGTGTACAGATATATTTCTTTTGTATCCCTCAGGACATGATTATCAGACCGTGAAATACTTCACTGTATTTTACTAGCATATGTAATTTTAAGTAATTAAAAACAATGTATCTTTTATGTTTTCTAAGAGAGCTTTATACAACCCCATGACTTTGCAGTCCCATTTTGATAATTTAAAAAAAAAAGTATATCGCTAACACAGATTTGTGCCCATCAAGCCAAGACTTACGTTATCCTGCTTTTTTTTCCCGAGAAAGTACTCCTGTGACTTCCTTGGAATGATTTACTATAAAATTATGGTTGTGTTAATGTACCAAATAATGTCGTTGACAGCAAGTGTTTCACCAGTGACTCGGCTTCATCTTCACAGTAAAGGAGATGAGCCATGATGTGGTCCATTAGTTGGAGAAGAATCTTGGGAGTACCGTTTCCGTACTGTTTACCTTTCATGTAACACTTAAGGATATGATCTTGGATCCCTTTAGCCAGACAATTTAGCTTTAACAGTAACTACTGTATTACTTGGATCGAAGTTTTTATTTTTTTAAAAAGATTTATTTATTTATTTATTTATTCAGAGAGAGATAGAGGCAGAGACACAGGCAGAGGGGAGAAGCAGGCTCCATGCCGGAAGCCTGACGCGGGACTTGATCCTGGGTCCCCAGGATCACACCCCGGGCTGCAGGTGGCGCTAAACCGCTGCGCCACGGGGGCTGCCCTGGATCGAAGTTTTTAGTATAGCATATTCAATTAGAATATAGCGTGTTAATGGAATTTAGAGAAAGGGAAACAAAGGAGTTTTTACCACAATTTCAGAATAGTACAGAGTAGAGTATTGTGGATTTGGGAAAGTTTGGTCCATCATATTTTTTGCCAGTCTTATTAAACTTGCTCCACTTTAAATCTTTTTACCACTTTACTTTGGATATTCACTGATTGTCTTGAGTTAGGAAAATCAAAGAAACAAGAGCCCACCCCTTCTAGTCTCGAGAAGAAGTCCAACATAAGAACCAGGCCTCTTTGGAGAGGTGGACTCCATAGCTGGAACAAGAAAAGGTTAGGATCAACCTGGAGCGTCCTAAGGTGACAAAGTAAGGAAGTATTTGAAGGATGATAGGGATGTCAGCAAGGTACAAAAGCCAGCTTGAAAAGGCTCCCACTGGCCAAAAGTAGGACAATTTGGGTATCAAAGTAAATAATGACAGTACAAATTATAACACACCAAATAAAATAGGATTCCACAAATTGATAATTATATAAATGAATTATATAAATGAATGAACAGAATCAGTGATGAGGAATGGGATATTTGTATAATCACGCAAAGTATCTCCACACAAAATAATGTAAAAAGGAAAAAGAGTAACTTTACAATGGAGAAGCCTGGCAATAACCACCTTCATCAAGCTGTCAGAGTTCATATTCTCGGTAACAGTCAAATCAGAACTGTTCCACCTTGCAGAATGCAGTGAAAAAAAAAAAAAAAAACTCAACAGCACTTCTTAGATATTTTTGCCAAAGATGTGTAACTTAAACTTAAATCCAATTATGAAGATACATCAGATGAACCCAAATTGAGGCATAGTCTGTAGAATAAGTAGCGTGTAATCTTCAAATGTGTCAAGACCATGAGAAACCAGAAAATAGTGAGGAACTATTCCAGGTCAAAGGAAACTAAAGAATGAAAACAAACAGTGTGTGATCCTGACCCTGATCTTGTTGTTTTATAGGACCTTAATGGAACAGTTGGTAAAACTTGAATGGGATGTTACATGGTAGTGATACATTAGTGTTAATTCTTAAATTTTTATTGTTAAATTGAGATTGCTTTGGAAGATATCTTTATTTATAGCTAGAACACAGTACAATATTTGGGGTTTATGGGATGTAATGACCATAAATTATTCAGGAAAAATATGTTCCTTGTAGTGTTCTTACCACTTTTCTCCATATCTGATATTATTTTTATGTAAAAAGAGTAAAAAATGGTTTGCTTTTATTTTTATAACTGGATTTGCTTACATAAATGGATCATGGTCATATGAAAATGATTTAGAAAAAATGAGAATTTAGAAACTATGATCTCTGAATATGTTGGAAGGCGGTGAGTACCTCTTGGACAATTTTTTTTTTTTCAGTAGGCTCCACATCCAGTGTGAGGCTCGAACTCATGACCCTAATAACATGAAGAGTCACATGCTCTACTGATTTAGCCAGTCAGGTGCCACACCTCCTGTACAGCTCTTCTTTCCACCTTAATTCCTTATTTGCATTATCTAATTACACTTAGACCTATCTAGTGTTGAAATATGCCCATTATGACCTTGATGAAATACTTTTGACTTTGTAGCAAATTTTATTTCAAAGGATTTTTTTTATTGATATTTAAATACAACAGCAACTTAGATAGAACCTATTTGGATTTCCAGTATAATTTGTAATAATGTGTTTAATCTCTTTATTGAAACAGACTATATGTTTAAATGCTTTCTTTGAAGAGGGAAAGATTAGTATAGAATATAGCTCAATTCAGATTTTTCTTTTCATAATGAGCTGTTTTATGATTTATAAAATCTATTTTATGATTGTCATCATATAAAACAACCTATAATGCTAACATCTCATAGACATTTTGGAATTTGTTCTCTGTCCCACCCTGGAAATGGAATATCTGGGCACTGGTAACAATTGCTGAGTTTCAGCAAAACAGCATGGAATTCTTTTATTACTTGTTATATGAATGTTGTGTCAACTGTTAACCAAGTTATTGTTAGTTTGGGACCTTTATATCAATTGCTTGGGAGTGAGAGCTTAGGTTTCTTTCTTATTCACTAAAGCCCGAAGTATTCTTCATTCTCTGTGTACATAATCAAAGAATCATCGAGACTGAGGAATTAAGGGGGCATCACAAGTCATTTAGATCACTAAGATGTATAGTCTTTCCCTTACTTTACAATGCATTTCTTTTCAAATTTATATCAAAACTTGAAACTGTTTA